GAAGTTGGCAAGAGGCTTGGGGGTTCAACTGCATGAGGCATGGGGGAGGGAACTGGGGGTGTCCGGTCTAAGGAAGAGAAGGGCTGGGGGCGAAGGAGAGCATCTTCCCGTATTTGAGGGGCTGCCATAAAAAAGAGGGGGTTCACCTGAAGGCAGGACAAAAAAACAATGGATGGAAACTAATCAAGGAGAGAAGCAATCCAGAAATGAGGAGGAATTTCCTTACAGTGAGGACAATTCACCCGTGGAACAGCTTCCCTCCAGACGTTGTGGGGCTCCATCACTGGAGGCTTTCAAGAGTCTGGACAGTCACTGGTCTGAAACGGGAGAGGGTCTCCTGCTTGAGCAGAGGGTTGGGCCTCCAAGGTCCCTTCCAGCCCCTTTGGATTAAGAAAGGGCTGCGCTATTCTGGGGAACAGCCCTCCTCTCCACCTGGGGGGGGGGCAGGAGGGGGGACAAGCTGCCTTAGAAATCCCAAAGAGGGAACTTTTTGCCTCCTGACACAGCTCCCGGCTTGTGGCTTGGCAAAAACGTGGCTGCATTTTTCCAATAGCTCATCACCTCCCTTGGCTTCCGAAGAGGGGAAAACGAAGCCCAGCCAAGCCAGCTTAGAACAGGGTGTTCTTTTGCTGGCTGCTGGAGCTTCCTGTCCCTCTCCCTGCCCTTGCAACAGGAGGAGGGTCTGGGGGGGGGAGAGGAAGGAGGCAGGGTTGCTCTGGAGAGAAGCCACCTCATTGCATGCAAAAACTTTGGACAACCAGAAAGGAAGGAAAAAGCTCCTCGGCTTTCGCTGATGCAACTGGGCGTCCGTGGCAAGAACTGGACGTCCTGCCCCCTTCTGCTCCTTGCAAAAGGGACCCCGAGGAATTGCAGGAGGAATGAAGTGGGGCAGCCAGCCAGGCCCCTGCTCTTGCTCCAACCTCCCAGGAGGAACGTAAAGCACCCCCAAACCTTTCCCGCTCCAGGGGTTCTGGGGCGGCTTGGATGCCGTTTCTTCTCTGAGTTTCTCTTGTCCTGAGGGATCCCACAACAGAGGACCCCACCCCAACGGCGGGGCAGCCTCCTCCTCAGGCTTGGCTAGAGGAGGTGGGTCCCCGGTTTATCCCCAGGGAGGGGGTTGCCTACTCCAATGTGGTGCGCAGAGGGCCTCTGGCCCCATCCCTGGGCACCTCTGGTTGGAAAGGATTTGGAGCCGGGTGTGCTTCGGGAAGAGCAGAGGAGGGTGTGTGAGGGTGTGTGAGTTCCTCGGGTCAAGGGCTTGGCTCAGCACGAGGCAGCCCCACGCACGGCCTCCCAGGCTTAAGCTGAAGGGTTCGCAGAAGGATCCACTTCTCACACCAAAGAGAGAAGTGATGCTCTTGATAATCGTGAGCAATTGGAACCCATAGAGACCAAGACAAATCCGGCAATGATGGAAATCTCGCCCAGAGATGGGGGAGGACACGCCCACGCCCAAAGAGCATGCCACGAGAACGGACGGATTACCATGCTGGCCCGGTGCTGGCCCACAGCCTCTCCAAGGCCCTTTCTTCCATTCGCTTCCAGGGCTTTTTTCTATTTTCTGGGATGCGACAGGCAAGGTCCTCTCCAGCTGAAGAGGCTGGTTGGTGTGGCTCCTTAACTGGTCAGGAGCAAAAGCTGACCAGGCCCCAAATCTCCCCAATGGGCTGAGAGGAGAGAGCACACTCAACTGGAATGCTCAGTATTTGTAGCTCAGGGTTGGACTGTGGGGGTCCTGGCCGCTCTGTGAGCTTGGTAGTTTTTAATGCAGATGTTTCACGACCACAACTAGGCAACATCATCAGTGCTAGAAAGGGGGAGGGGGGAGGAGGAAGAGGAGGAGGACTGTGGGGTCCTTGGTGTTCTCTGAGCTTGAAAGCTTCCTAGCAAATGTTTCATCACCCAACTAGGTAACATCTTCAGAGCTAGAAGGGAGAGGGGTTTGTGGAGAGGAGGAGGAGGAGGAGAAGGAGAAGGGGGGGAGGATTGTGGGGTCCTTGGTGCTCTCTGAACTTGGCTCTTTTCTTGCAGACATGTCATTACTGAACTAGGTAACATTATCAGTGCTAAAAGGAAGTGGGGTGTGTAGAGTGAAGAGGAGGAGGAGGAGGGGGAGTGCGGGGTCCTTTGGGCTCTCTCAGCTTGGTGGTTTTCCTGCGGATGTTTTATCATCCAACTAGATAACATTATCAGTGCCTTTTTGAACTAAACTCATTAGGCAGATTTTATTGTGTTGCAATGTCTTCGATCGAGTGTAACAGAAAAGTGAGTAAAAAAAAAATGTTTCTAGAGGCTTCCTCCTCAGCCCAGAAGTCACCTTCTTACAGGTACACATTTGACAACAATAAGGTCCGTAAAAAAAATTGCATTTCGTTCCCAGAGCCATCTTCTGGGTACTAAGCTGGAGAAAGTCATTTATCTGCCTGATGCGCCTTTGGAATAAGTAATCTTTTAAATAGTCAGTTCTGAAATTTCCCGCAGTTGTGGGAGGCATTGTGGGGGCAGACCTCACCAGGGTTTTCTCCTAAGTGAAAATAAAAATAGGAAAAATTGGCCAGCCAGCTCCGGGAGAGCTTTACGGCCTGCGGATGGCAGAATTTTTGTGGTTGCCACAAACACTATCCGAAACTTGAACACCGCACAGGATAGGGCCGAAAGAAGGAGCGGAGATGAACGGAAGGCAAGACCCAGGCCCAGAATTCAGCCTCTGCCTCTTGCAACTCGCTCAGCTCTTCTGTCCAGGGGTCAGAGCCCAGACAAACTCTGCAGGTCACAAGGCCCCCTGCGAGGGCATCTTGCCCGTGATCTTGTTGGAGCACTCCAGGAGCGCGTTGTGGATGTCCTTGGCACAGGAGATCTGGGACTTGATCATGCTGAGGTACTGGGTGTAGGGCAGGCTCTCTGCCTGGACCGCGTCGGGCTTAGTGGCGGTGGGCACCAGGGTGGGCGAGTGCTTGGCGCTGTCGAAGCTCTGGGAAAGGCACTCGTAGGCCAGGCGCTGGGATGAGGGAGAGAGGAAGTGGGGGTGAGAACAGAGCTGGTCGGATGTTACCCCGGGGAGGGTCTGCGGACAGCAGCCTCTTCCTTCCAGGGGAAGACCAAGATGATGGTGAGAACAATTAACCAGTGGAACAGCTTGCCTCCAGAGGCTGTGGGTGCTCCAACACTGGAGGTTTTTAAGAAGGGATCGGACAGCCACCTGTCTAGAATGCTACAGGTAATCCTCGACTTACGACCACAATTGAGCCCAAAATTTCTGTGGCTAAGCAGTACATTTGTTAAGTGAACGTTGCTCCATTTTATTATCTTTCTTGCCATGGCTGTGAAGTGAATCCCTGCAGTTGCTAAGTAAGTAATCTGGCTTCCTCTTTGACCGTTTGCTTGTCATAAATACAGACCAGTTACCCAGCATCCAAATTTTGATCATGTGACCATGGGGATGCTGCAACGGTCGTAAATGTGAAAAACGGCCATAAGTCACTTTTTTTCAGTGCTGTTGTAACTTTGCCACTAAATGAACTGTAGTAAGTCGAGGGCTACCTGTACAGGGCTTCCTGCTGGAGCAGGGGGTTGGACCAGAAGACCCCCAAGGTGCCTTCCAATGTTGCTATCCTGTTATTGTGCAGAGAGACAGCTCCTTCTCACAACCACACCAGAGACGTCTTAAAGGGGTGCCCATTCCCAGGGACAGCCAGCAGAGATGTGGAGTACAAAAGAGAAGAGGCGGCCAAAACCCCAAATTCCAGCAAGGTGCACAAGTGGGAATCCATGGCTGACGAACGAGAGTGTATGCCCCCACCCCCCACTCCTCCTGGACTTACCAGACAGAGTTCGAGCTGGTCGCACAAGGCGTAAAATTCCTCCAGGCTTTTGTCCACTCTCTGCACTGGAACTTCGCTGATTTTCCTGAAGAAAAGGGAAAGAGAGAAAGAAAGAACAGTTTGCCATCTTGGCAGGAAGAAAGGGAGCAGGCTGGGCAGGCTCAGCTGGACCGTGGAGGGGGAAGGTGGAGTGAACTCACTGCCCGCTGTCGATGCTGGTGTTCTGGACGAAGTTCTGCGCAGCCACCTTCATCAGGTTCTGAAAAGGGGAAGGAGACTATTAAAAACGGGCTTCCAAGCAGGGACCCCTAAAGAGGAGAATGGATAGGTTAACATTAAAGATAAAGGATGAGGAAGATGCAGAGTATTTTTTTAACAGGGGATTTGTTCTACCAAGGATTAGGTTAGGTATTGGAGGTAGGAATTAGAAGCTGGAAGAATACCACTAGGCTCAAGTACATAACATCATCATCATTATTATTATTATTATTACTACTACTACTACTACTATTATTATTATTATGGATAAGTAAGTTGACCCAGACAATACACGGTTTACTAAAGACTTATGTATGTTTAAGAAAAATGTATAAATAATATATACATATATATATATATATATTTATACATTTTATTTATATATACACACACACAGAGAGAGGCGTAGAGAGGCGGCTCCGTGGGGCTCCCGGGGCGGAGGGAGGGAGGCGGGCTGTGCCTCATGGGCCGCGGAGTCCCTCTCACCTGCAGGCTCTCCTTCAGCTGCGGCAGGAGGAGGCGGAAGCGCTGCACCGGGTCGAAGTCCTGCGCCTGCGCGGCCACCTGCATCCCCGAGGGCGCGGGGCCTGCGGCCAGAGGAGGCGCCCCCGCCGCGACCTGCTGCCCCGCGGCCCCCGAGGGCCCCACCTGGCCCATCAGCGGCGGCTGCGGGGGCGCCTGGGGCTGCGGCGGCGGGACCTGCGGCTGAGGCGGCGCCGCCATCTTCGGCCGCTCTCGCGGGACTACCCTTCCCGGCCTGCCCTGCGCCACGCCGCGCGACGCGGAAGCGCTCCTCCCCCCTTCGACGCGGTCCTGAGAGCGACGCTTCCCGGCGGGCCTTTCGCGGAGCGCGGCCCCCTGGGAGCTGCAGTCCCCCCGTGCTTAGCGCGTAGGACATCGGCGGCCTCCCGGACTCCGCTTCCCGGCGCTCCCCGCGGCAGGAAAGGCCCGGCGCCTGCGCCCTCGGTTGCTGGTGGGAGCCGCTGCCATGGCGCCCACGATCCAGACTCAGGCGCAGCGGGAGGAGCCGGGCCACAGGTGGGGAGGGGGCGCCTCCGGGGCGGGAGGGCCCAGCCTTTCTCCCCACCCGTTTCCGCGGTCACTGACTCTCTCCCGGTCCGCTTCTTCTTCTCCTTCTTCTTCCCCGCAGGCCCAACTCGCACCGGACGCTCCCCGAGAGGTAAGGCGACCCCCCTCCCGTGAGGCTCCGGCCCCGCAAGAGGCGGCGGCGGCGGCGGCCTCCCCCTCACTCCCGCCCTTCCTTCTGCTTCGGCCCGCAGGTCCGGGGTGGTTTGCCGCGTCAAGTACTGCAACAGCCTCCCCGACATCCCCTTCGACCCCAAGTTCATCACCTACCCCTTCGACCAGAACAGGTGAGACCCCCCCCCCCGCGCCCCTTGCAGAGGCCCCTCTCCCCTCCCCCCCCCCCCGCGGCCCTCCTCAGCCTTCGGCGCGGAAAGATGCGAGGGAAAGCGCGGGGAACCCTATCCGGGGGTGGGCTGGATGACCACGGAGGTCCCCTCCCACAGGGCCCTGTCTCTCTTCAGCGTGGAGGTCCTGAGGGTTAATTGGGCTGTTCCTTCTTTCTAGGCCAGAGGTCTTCCAACCTGGCAGTTTTTAAGACTTGTGGACTTCAACTCCCAGAATTCTCCAGCCAGCCATGCTATGCTATGCTCCAGCTATGCTGGCTGGAGAATTCTGGGAGTTGAAATCCACAAGTCTTAAAGCTGCCAGGTTTGGGGACCCCTGTTCTAGGCCTTCCCTGCCACCTGGGGTAACTGAGAACCGTGGAAAAAAAGAAATAAAATGCAACTAGTTGCAGATGCTGGGGGGGAGGGCGTAGAGGGAGACCGTAAAGGAGCAACTTTGGGGGATTCTGGGAGTTGAAGTCCACTCAACTTCAAGTGGCCAACTTTGAAAAAAGTTTGGGGCTCAGTTGTCATAAGTTGAGGACTCCCTGTCCTCCATCTTGACTGTTGGCCAAAAGCCTTGAGGAAGGAGTTTGGCCCCTTCAGAGATAGACAGAGAGCCTCATGGTTTAGTGAAGGCCACCCAGAAGGCCCTTCCCGCACATTAATGAATATATATACTACAATATGGGAAGCCACTTTGTCTTTTTTGAACTGCTGCAGGGTTGGAGTCTCCAGGAAGCCGAAACCCTTAAACTCCTGTTATGGGGAGGGGGATTCTTTTATGTCCAGCCTGAGGTTTGGCTGGTCTCTCTTGGGAAATTTGATCCCGCACTCATCTTGCTGCCAGTGTACATTATCTGAGTGCAATTCAGCTTTGGAGAGCTGCTTGGGCCTTTAATGCCGATTAAGGTTTTTCTTGCTTCCTTCCCCTTTCCAGGTTTGTACAGTACAAGGCCACCTCTCTGGAAAAGCAGCACAAACATGACTTGCTGACGGAACCTGACTTGGGAGTCACCATAGATCTAATAAACCCGGATACTTATCGCATTGACCCCAGTGGTGAGACGGATTCTCTGTATGCCCGTCACAACAGAGGGTTAATAATGAGTGTGCAAATCGAGGCTGGTTGGGGGGAGGTGCTCGTTTTGTGTGTGAGGAGAACCTGCACCCTAGATTTCTGGTACCCACTAAACAAACAGCTGCTAGGGAGATAACACAACTATGCTGTGAATTCAAATCTTTTATAGGTAGTCCTTGCGTACTGATTGCAGGGAGCTGATGGGAAGTTGGGAGGCGGTCCCTGCTTAATGCCTCACGGTTGTCGCTTAACAGTAGCATTGTCTGTTGCTGGGATTTCTGTCACTGAGCGATGCGGTTACATGATGATGTGCTTTACATTGCTTAGCGTGGGAAGTTCTGGTCCCAATTACTGGCGTTACGCGAAGACTACCCATACTAAGTGCGTGCATCTCCAGTGACCTAATGGAGCAGGATTCCAGGAGTTCAGCTACAGAATGCAAGGAGGCCAGAGTGCATCTCAACCCTTTGCAGAGCTCTCCGAGCATGCTCAGTGGAGGGGACCAACCTGTGACCACGTTCGTTTTGTTTTAGTTCTTTTAGATCCTGCGGATGAGAAACTGCTGGAGGAGGAGATCCAGGCACCCACCAGTTCCAAGAGGTAGTGCAATTCCTTCGGCACCACAGCCCCCTTCTGCTGGCCTTGCTCCAGGCTCTGCTGCCCCGGTTCTTACCCCAGATGCCGCTCTGTCTCCCACCCCAGCATCCGATTGTTGAAAGTTTCTTGCAGTTGTCCTTCGTGGCCTGGCTCGTTTAAGTGATTTCCTTCTTTAGAAAGAGAATCCCTAAGCTCTCTGGACCTTAGCACCTGCCTCTAATCTCCACGACTCTCCTCAGCCTCACCATACGGGCAGCTGCTCCGCTCCCTCTCTCACACACACATTTGTTTATTAATATGCCACCCATCTCACTATCCAAAGCAACTCTGGCTATGCATACATATACATACATTTAACTGCCAGGTGTGAAGAATGAAGGCCACACATTAAGTTCCAGTTAAGCTGATTTATTGCTCATGCCTCTATGCAAGAATCTAGTCAATTAAGGATCAGCACCAAATTGGCGCTAGGTAAGATTTAATGGAATTCAAGAGCAGTTGGACACATTGTGGCAACGTAAGGACTCCAGGCTGATTCCTCTCTTGACCCCAGCCCCAGGTTCTGCCTCTTTTGCTCCTACACTGAGCTTTAGAGCCGCTTTTGAGGGTGTAAATGTTCTCTCGCAATATTTGCTACATTGGGGTTTTGTTTTTGTAATTCACTGGGACTCACCATGAGTGAATTGGGCGGCCATAAAAATTTTCTTAATAAATACAGTGGAGGAGTTGGTCTTCCTGCGCTGGCTGGGAATAATTGGATTGTAGCCAGATGGGCTTTGGGGAAGGCAACTCTGGAGAAGAACAGAAATCCAGGTGGACTTTTTTGGTCGTTTTTTTCTCTTCAGATCACAGCAGCATGCCAAAGTTGTGCCATGGATGCGGAAGACCGAATACATCTCCACTGAATTCAACCGCTACGGTGTCTCCAATGAGAAGCCAGAGGTTAAGTGAGTAGAAACATCATTTGGGTTATTCCGCCATTATTTATTTTCATCCAGCTTTGCGCTAGCAAAGAAATAGTCTGTTGTGAGTCTGGTTGTACTGAGAACGTGTTTCTGGAGAGGGGCTCTGTGTCTTGGCTCCAAAGGAACTTTCTCACTGAGTCCAGCGCAAGGAAGCCACACTCTTAGACTGCTGGCTGAGACTCCCTTTCTGAACTCTTCCCCCTCCCCCCACCTCGTTTCGCTTAGAATTGGCGTGTCTGTCAAACAGCAGTTCACCGAGGAGGAGATCTACAAGGACCGAGATAGCCAGATTGCAGCCATCGAGAAGACCTTTGAGGATGCTCAGAAGTCAGTGAGTGCACTTCCTTTTCCTTTCCTCCCTCCCTCCCTCCCTCCCTCCCTCCCAAAAAACTCCTTTCCTCTCATTGTTGTGCCTTTTTAGTTTTAGAGATGGAACCTGTGCAGAAAGAGAGAAAAAGACCCTGGAGGTCTTCTAGTCCTGTAGAGCAGTAGAACTGGGGTGGTGGGTGGGAGGTGGGTCCAACTTGCCAACTTTAAGACTCGTGGATTTCAATTGGAGTTGAAATCCACGAGTCTTAAAGTTGCTGCTGTAGAAGCTTGCTGGAGCCATTTTTATTCTCCTTATATTGGTGGTTTAAATGCACGCTCTGATTTGTGGGGGTGGAGGCCCCAAGAGAGCTTTGCAGAGCCTACATTCAGCTACAGCTTCCAGGCCTAGCAAGGGTGTCTTTCTCGGGTGTCTCCTAATGGGAAACTCTGCCCCCACCCCCCTTCCAGATTTCTCAGCACTACAGCAAGCCTCGCGTTACTCCAACGGAAGTCATGCCGGTCTTTCCTGACTTCAAGGTAAGGGGAAAGCAAGGCGGCCCCAGGGAAGTGGGTGCTGGGTGGGGTGAGAGGTTAGCAGACCACCTCACCTGCCCCTCCCCAGAAGGACTTGCCGGGCTCTGAGCTGCTGTTCTCATTCTCTCTGCCAGATGTGGATCAACCCTTGTGCTCAGGTCATTTTTGACTCTGATCCAGCGCCCAAGGACACCAGCGGGGCAGCAGCTCTGGAGATGATGTCACAAGCCATGATTAGGTGAGATCATGGTTTATTTCTAAAGTAGGGAGAGGAAAGCCGGCCTTGGTTTCCTTGCTGAGGGTGTTTTATCTTTATTTTTTAATTTTTTAGTATTTCACCTTTATTTTTATAAATAACTTAAGGCAGTGAACATATCCAACACATCATTTTCCTTCTATTTTCCTCACAACAGCCCTGTGAGGTGGGCTGGGCTGAGAGAGAGCAACTGGCCCAAAGTCACCCAGCCAGCTTTCATGGCTAAGGCGGATCTAGAACTTACCGTCTCCCACTTTCTAGCCTGGTGCCTTAACCCCAGCCCAGCCTTTTCAAGACCTCAAGCAGAAAGAGTTCTATTTCCCTTTCATAATCTTCAGCCTTCTCCTTTTATCTGGTGGTGCCAGTGAGGATTTTGCTTGGCACAAGGGCTGTTCCGTCCAAGAGTGGTGCAGTAGCCTAGAGGTGGAGCTCTCGCCTCACAATCAGGAGGCTGTGAGTTCAATCCTAGGTAGTGGCAGATATTTTTCTCTCTGGGCACAATGTGTAAATATCAGCTGCGAACTCTGCATTGGCGACAGGAAGAGCATCCGGCCAGTAAACAGCTCCATTCAGTTGCCCCGACTCCACCCCGATCTGAGGGATTACGGGATCATTAAAAGACCAAAAAAACAAAAAATGGCTGTTGTGTCCGAAGCAGGGAGCTGATAACGCCTCTTTCCCTCCGCCTCCAGGGGCATGATGGATGAAGAGGGCAACCAGTTTGTGGCCTACTTCCTTCCCGTGGACGACACGATGCGGAAGCGCAAACGGGATCAAGAAGAGGAGATGGATTACGCACCCGAGGACGTGTACGTGAGCGCAGATGCTGAGCGTTGTCTGGAAGCAGGACTAAAATACACCTGGAAGAGAGCCCAGAAGAGCGTCATGGTTGCAATAAGGGATTTAGTTTTGAAAATGTGAAAACGGGGTCAGCAAGCTGCATACGGCTTAGCTTACATTTCCCAACTGGCTTAGTTTGAATTTGGCTTTTCAGAGCCATAGATTAAAATGATAGGATTGCCTGAGTTGGTAGATTTTTTTATTGTTTTTTTTTTACTACTTCACGAACAGGGGATAGACATGTTAAGTTGCAGGGACTGCTTTAATTCTGCCCTTGGATTTCTTGGTTTCCTCTTGCAAAGTAGGTCCCCCGCCCCCCACTGATGAGGGTTGGGTAAGCAAGAAAATCAATTCCATTTTAGGAAATTGAATGGAATTAAGAAGGAGTGGATTTTTTCCAAGCAGATGTGAAACTCTCTTCTTTCTCTCCCCCCCACCCCACCCCCATTAGGTATGAGTATAAAATTGCCCGGGAATACAACTGGAACGTCAAGAACAAAGCCAGCAAAGGTTATGAAGAGAATTACTTCTTCATCTTCCGTGAAGGTGACGGTGTCTATTACAATGAACTGGAAACCAGGTGAGGGGAAGGAAATTGGGGGCAGGACAGTGGGTCGGGGGGGACGACGGGGCAGAAGATGGAGCTGCTGGGCCCTTGGCAGGCTAACGGGCGTGGGGAGGCCTCCCTGGCTGCTTTGTGGTTTTATGAGCCAGTTTCCAGTGCTCAACCTCTACAGGCAGACCTTGACTTAACGACCGCAATTGAGCCCTTAGACAATGGAGTCTATTGCTCAGGGAGGCTGTTGTTAAGTGAGATTTGCCCCATTTTACGACCTTTCCAGCCATAGTTGGTAAGCGAATCACTGCAGTTGCTCAGTAACACGATTGTTAAGTGAATCTGGATTCCCCATTGACTCTGCTTGTCAGAAGGTTGCAAAATGGAAACACGTGACCTCAGGACACCTCAACCGTCATAAATACGAGTTAATTGCCAAGTGGCCAAATTGTGGCCACATGACCCCAAGGAGGCTGCAACGGTGGTATGTGTAAAAAACGGGCCTCGGTCACTTTTTCCAGTGCCGTTGTAATTTCCAACGGTCACTAAATGAACTGTTGTAAGCCGAGAACTGCCTACGCTGTGCTAAAAAATGCCACCGTTCTTCTTCACAGCTGTTGTGCTTTTCCTCAATAAGGGGTGTGTGTGTGTGTTGGGAATGCTGTCAAAGAATGGTCTGAGCACTTGTGGTTGTGGGTCTTCGGCTAAAAGGGGCGGGGGGGGGACTGAGATGCTGGCAAGGGTGGGCCCGGCCCTTCCGCCCTCACTGACCACCTCCTTCCCTGGCAGAGTGCGGCTCAGCAAACGGCGAGCCAAGGCCGGGGTCCAGTCAGGCACCAACGCTGTGCTGGTGGTGAAACACAGGGACATGAACGAGAAGGAGCTGGAGGCACAGGTAGGGCTGGGTGTCCTAGTGGGCAGAGGGGGGCTACTGCTGGGCCACAGGGGCCCCGGGGCTTTGCCCGAGCACCCCTCCCTGTGGCCGAGGGAGGGAGGGAGGGAGTCTTGAGCTGAGCGGCCCACTCGGGCACCTTTGCTTCCCTCACAGGAAGCCCGCAAAGCCCAGCTGGAGAACCACGAACCCGAGGAGGAGGAAGAGGAGGAGATGGACTTGGGCAAAGAGGCGCAAGGCTCAGGTGGGTGGTCTTTCTCCCAGATCCCGGCCTGCCCCCGAAAGCAGAGCTGGGCTACGCCTTCGGCTCTTCCTCTCTGGCCCCCATTAGAAATCAAATGTAAATAAGTGGAGGCAAGCAATTCAATTGCATCGCTTTTATTTTGAAGGTGGCTGCTATTTTTGTTAACTTTATGTATGTGCATACCTTCACAGCCCTAAGCCTAAGGCTAACCTTAGTTTATGGGATTTTCCTATATTTTACAAGTCCAAACAAAAAACTGACACCTTAACAAACCTCTAAGAATCTGTCTCTGGTATCAGTTTTTGGCCCTGGCCTAACCCGGACCTTAACACAACTGTCCCAGTTTCTCCTGTGGCCCCTTGAGGAAATTAACTGCCCCCTCCCGGGCCATAGAGGGAGGCTGCTTAAATGTTTAACCCACCGTCCTCCCTTCCCCTCTGCTGTCTCCCCCACTTCAGACGAGGAGCCGGAGAAAGGCAGTGAGAGCGAGAAGGAGGCCAGTGAAGCCGAGGAGGAGGAGGAGGAGGAGGAAGAGGAGGAGGAAGGGCGCTCCCCCAGCGAGGGCGAGGGCGTCCCAGCCGAGGAGAGCGAGGAGGATGAGCGGGCCGCGCGAGACAAAGAGGAGATCTTTGGCAGCGACGACGATGAGGAAGACTCTGAGCCGGAGGGCGGCCGGCCAGAGGCAGACGAGGAGAGCGGCAGCGAGGAAGAGGAGGAGGAGGACGAAGACGGGGGCAGCCGGCCGCAGCAGCAGCACCATCGGGGCAGCCGCAGCCCCTTCTTCAGCGGCAGCGACCGCTCCAACCACGAGGAAGAGGAGGAAGGCGAGGCCAGCCCCAGCGACGCCCCTTCGGAGTCGAGCAGTGAGAGCAGCGACAGTGACTGAGCAGCCACGGAGGCCGTTCGGTGGGACTGGAACTGACGGAAGAGGCACGGGGGGCTCGATTTGCCAGGCCCCTTCGGGTGTCCAGAGGGCCCTTTCGCCAGCTCTGCCGTCACTGGCCACAGGGGTCTGTTGGCTGGGCAGTTGGCCTGCTGGGGGAACCACGGGCTTCAGCCCTGGGAGTTCCCTGCTGTATATAAACGCTTTTTCTGTTGCAATAAAATATGTGTTTCCCTCCCCCCTTTTTTTTCTTGATTTTCTGTTTTGATCCCTTTTCTTTCTTGGCTTTTTAGTCACGGAGCTGTTTCAACAGCAGCGTCCCCCATTTTGTATGTATATTAGAAGTGTCCAAGCTTAGCCACTTTAAGATATGTGGACTTCAGTTCCCAGAATTCTCCAGTCAACCACATGTGGGTAGCTGGGGAATTCTGGGAGTTGAAGTCCACACATCTTAAAGTTTGCACATTTTTGATGTAAATGAAACAGCACATTTCTCTCTCGAAAAGACATTTGTCCAATCTCAGCAATAGGTAGGGGATTTTGGTTTTCAGGGCAGGGTTCAGGCATTATTTATTTATTTATTTAATCAAATTTCTATACCGCCCTACTCCCGAAGGACTCAGGGTGGTGAACAGCCAAGATAAAATACAGATAATACAAATATTAAAATCCCTTAAAATTATTAAATATTTTGGCCGAAACACAGATTAAAACACCCAATTTATAAAGTCACGAATTAAAAAATTTAAAAGAGGGGAGTTAGGCCAGGCCAGCTTGCTGAAATAGAAAAGTTTTGAGAGCACGGCGAAATGTGCGCAGGTCCGGGATCCTCCGTATCTCCGGGGGGAGCTCGTTCCAGATAGTAGGTGCCCCCACAGAGAAGGCTCTCCCCCTGGGGGCCGCCAGTCGACACTGTTTGGCCGACGGCACCCTGAGGAGCCCCTCTCTATGGGAGCGTACTGGTCGGTGAGAGGCTGTTGGTAGCAGAACCATGAGTGAGGCTAGGGCAGGTTTCCCTACGCAGGTGTGTTGGACTACAACTCCCATCACCCCTTGGGCCATATGGCCCTCGAGGCCTACACGGATGCCATAGATGAGGCTTGGAGCCCAGGTCTGTGGAGGAGATTGTGAGGTGCAGAAGACTCACTGAAAGCCCTGGGCCCACAGCCCACCTGGGGGCCCTGCAGCCCCTTCGCTAAGGGGTTGGTTGAGGGGGTCGCTTAGCAACGGGGCCGTCTGGGGTTTGGGAGATGTCCGAGCCCCTGATCTGGTGCTAAGAGACCAAAGGCCCCCCAGGAGGGGAAGGAGCTTGGCAAGGCGCGTGGATCGTGGGGGGTGAAGCAAAGCGGCGGTTGGGCGGTGGGATCCAAGGAGGGGCCTGCAGCTGTGCCCGGCTCCAGGCAGGTGCCCAAGACCCCATGCGCCAACTGAAGGTCTTGGCCCACGGAGGGCGTCCGTGTTGACTCTTGGCCCCCACATAGAGAGGACTTCTTCATGAGGATCGGCCCCTCGGCTGCTGTCACTCAAGAGCCTCTGCGCTGGTGCCAGTCTTCCCCTCCCACCTTGCCCAGCATTATGGGCTTCTGAAAGGAGGATGGGTCCTTCAGCCCTTCCATCATCTACTCCTCCCTTTTCTCCCGTCTTATTATTTATTTATTTATTTATTATCTATTTGTCAACAAGGAAAGAAGTGACGGGAGAGGCCTAGACATGGACGCACGGAAATTCCTTGGCACAAATAAAAGGATCGAAGTAGGGAAAACAGCCAGAAACGCATCAAAGGGGTGCATAGAGATGGGGAGGGGAGGACAGGGACGGTAGGGAGGCTTATGCACGCCCCCTCCCTCCTTCCCTTCCGGAGAGGGATCCCCGCCCGGCTCCAGCGCTGCGCTACGCAGGGCGAGGCGAGGCGAGGCGAGGCGCTGCGCTGCGGCCGTCGGCGCCGCCACCCAGGAAGCGCCAGGCTGGGCCGCAGCCCCTCCGGATCTCGCGGGCGGCGGGGCGCATGGACGGCGGGTGCGTGGGGCCGGGGCCGGGGCCGGGGCCGGGGCGGGCGGGGGTCTCTCTCGGGGAGGGCCGGGCGCGCCCTTCCCCTCTGGCCCGCAGCGCGCGTCGGGCGGTCGGCCGAGGGGGCTCCTCCGGGCAGGCAGGCGGGCGGGCGCAAGCGGGGTTAGGGGCGTCCCTGGCGGGGCTGAACCGCGACCCCCGCCGCCGTGCCCGGCCTGGCCGCCTTTGGGGGAAGCTGCCCAGCCCCGAGGAGGGTCTCCGGCGGGGGCTTGGGCAGGGAGGGAGGGACCCCTAGACGCCCCCTCCCCTTTTAGCCTGCCAAGCAGGGCTTTGGGAGGCCGGCCGGAGCAACCAGGGTTGCAGTGCGGGGCTGCTTTGCAAAGAGAACGCGGGTCTGCCCCCCCCCTCCCCCGTGGTGGTGGGCAGCCCTTGGCCGGACCCCCCAGCCCTCCCCCCCACCCCCGCCCAGGATTGGCTGCTCTCTGGCTTTGCAGAGGGACCCTGAGATCTGGCCTGAGGCAAGGCGGCCAGGATGCCCAGGCAGAGCCCGGGGCAGGCGGGTGGGTGGGTGCCCAGACCTCAACTGGCTTCCAGTCGCTTTGCACAAGGAGCCGCTTGTGGCAGAAGTGGTGGGAGGAGGGTTGTGTGATCCTCGGGTGCCAAAACCTGCCAGGTCGCACCTTCTCCACAAACAAGTCCAGCCACTCTGCGCCTGGCACCGAGCGAGTGGTGGCGCACCAAAGCCCATCGCTTTCCATATAAGCCTGCCAGTCGGGAAAGGTACGACTCGCCTTCTTGGCAGCTTTTAGCACCAGAAACTCACACAACCCTCCTTCGGATTTTGGGGAGAAGTCGGTGGGTCGCCGGGAGAGGATAACCATGATCCTGGGGGCGAGTTCCTCACCCTTCTCCTTTGCCCCCTGGGCACCCTTGGAGAGTCACAGCAGTTGTTGTTGTACAGTCTCCCCGTTGTGCCATCCCACCAGATCTAGTTTGTGATGGGCACCCAACTGGCGAGGCCTCTCCAAGACCCCAAGCCCAGAAAGAGCTGTGGAGGGTGAGGAATCGCTCCACTAACCCAACATCCATCTGCAGGCTCTGTTAAACCATGATTATTGGCAATTGGCTGGGTTCCCACATTGCTCTGAGCCCCAATCATGCGTGTCAAGTATGACTGGCATTACAAGACATGGCAGGGCAAAGGGAAATTGGGATCAAATCAAAGTCAGTTCTCTACCTCAGCAACGTGAAGCGGAGTGGACTTCAACTCCCAGAATTCCCCAGTCAGCTTAGGAATTCTGGGAGCTGAACTCCACCCAGCTCCAAGCTGCCAAGGTTGAGAAAGTGGTTTAGGCAAATGGCAAACATTTGCAGTTACTTAGTCCATGACTTATGACCACAATGGAGCCCAATGGTTCTGTTGGTAAGTGAGACATTTGTTAGGCGAGTTTTACCCCATTCTACAACCTTATCACAGTTGCTAAGTTGTTTAACCATTCACATGGTTGTTTAAGTGAATCTGGCTTCCCCATTGACTTTGCTTGTCAAAGGTTGCAGAAGGGGATCACGTGACCCTGAATTTGAGTCAATTGCCAAGTAGCTGAATTTTGATCAGGTGAATTTAGAGGCTGCTGCAACAGTTGTAAGTGTGAAAAAAAGGTCATAAGTCACTTTTTTCAGTGCTGTTGTAACTTTGGACGTAAGTCAAGGACCACCTGTAATTCTGTCTTGGCGCATTCGTGATTTGCTCTTGCTGGCTTTGGGGCAGACGGGCAGCTAATGACACTGGTCTATTTTCTTCCCCAGGTCGGCATCGTCGCAGCCCTGTCGGTCTGCCCCATCCTCTGAAGAGCAGGAGCCGGCTCATCCAGTGCCTGGGAGGAGCGCCAGCCCTCCAGCGTGTCCCCTGCCTGGGGGGCCATGTCACAGGACAGCGGGGGCTCGGCCCAAAGTGAAGCCGGATGGCGGCACGAGCAGCCGTAGGGGTGGGCGTGGGAAGGCCCGACAGAGCCACGCCTCGGAGAGACTGAGCCTTCCCTCGTCCAAAGTGGGTCCAGCCACGGAGGGCCCATGGCGGGCAGACCCCGAGCCCTCCAAGGGGCTGGGTCATTCCTTGCGGCAGAAGCTGCAGGCCGCCGTGGGGCAGTGCTTCCCCATCAAGAGCCTGCCACGCTCGCCGGACCTCTCTTCCCAGCGCAAAATTCACCTCCGGGAGCTGATGCTGGACACCTGCCCCTTTCCCCCGGGCTCGGAGCTGGCCCGCACCTGGGAGCTGATCAAGCAGCACACGGTGCCCGTCTCCGAGCACGAGGGCCTGGCTGCCCTGCCCCCCGAGGACGAAGATGACCGCCTGAGGGAACGCCGCCGCATCAGCATTGAGCAGGGTGTGGAGCCCCCTCCGGATGCCTTGATCCACACTTTCGAGGTCACAGCGCAGATCAACCCCCTCTACAAACTGGGGCCAAAGCTTGCCCACGGCATGACCGAGCTAACCGGCCCAGGTCGGGCCATGCTGACCGCCACTGATGAGCAGGACGAAGAGGAGGAGGAGGAGGAGGAGGAGGAGGAAGAGCTGGAGTCGGCCTTGGCCAGGCTGCCGGAGGTCCGGGACGGCCTGCGGGCGCACACCCAGATCGACTACATCCACTGCCTGGTGCCCGACATGCTGCAGCTGACACAGCTCTCCTGCTATTGGGGCGTGATGGACCGCTACGAAGCCGAGTCCCTGCTGGAGGGCAAGCCGGAGGGCACCTTCCTCCTGAGGGACTCGGCCCAAGAAGACTACCTCTTCTCCGTGAGTTTCCGGCGCTATGGCCGCTCTCTCCACGCCCGCATCGAGCAGTGGAACCACAACTTCAGCTTCGACGTCCACGACCCCAGCGTCTTCCACGCGCCCACCGTGAGTGGCCTCTTGGAGCACTACAAGGACCCCAGCGTCTGCATGTTCTTTGAGCCGCTGCTGTCCCTCCCCGTGCACCGCACCTTCCCCTTTGGCCTGCAGCACCTATGCCGGGCCGTAGTGACCTGCTGCACTACCTACGACGGCATCGGGCACCTGCCCCTGCCCCGGGCGCTGAAGGAGTACCTGAAAGAGTACCACTACAAGCAGAGGGTGAGGGTGCGGCGCCTGGATACCTGGGGCACCTGACGCCGACCCCCAACCACCGATCAGCCTCCTGGATCTACCTGCTTTCCTTCGGGTGACAATCGTTACTTCCTAACCCATCTTCTCTTGCCTGGCATTCTCCGGAATGGGTGGGTGCCAGTTTCTGGTCCTGCTAGCTAGCATGCTGGCTGGAAACGCTGAGCACGGTAGCCTGGCACATCCGGAAAGGATTTGGGCGAAGGAAGTGGGCCCGTCTCCCTCCACGCCTTTCCGGGCTTGTGAGCACAAGGCTGTCCGTGGGTGCCTTTTTTCAGTCTGGGTGCAAAATCCAGGGTTGTAGAGACTTTGGGCTGCGGAGAAGGCCCAGAATCTTTGCAAGTCAGAGCAAAAAAAATGAGGACTTCCGGTTAACCAGAATTTGTAGCATCGAAGGCCTGAGCCCCCCACTAGAGGGGAGATTCACCCTTAAATCTCCTGCCTAGTGGGCTCTTGCCGAAGGGCTCTGTGGCCTGCCTCCACATCCTTCCTGAGAAAAAGCACAACATTTGGGGAGGGGGATCAGGGCTGTTTCCAAGCCAGGCGTTTGGGCACAAACGTCTGGCAGGAAGACGAGCCGGGACTCTTCTTGGGTAGCCCCTTGGGCACAATCCTGCATTTCTTTGCCTTTCTTCCATTCCTCCAAGTTGTACAGGTAGTCCTTGACTTACAATGGTTCATTTAGCAACCGTTTGAAGCACTGAAGTGATTTATGACCATTTTTTAACACAATCATTGCACACACCCCCCTTCACGTGATCAAAATTTGGACGCTTTGCAACTGGATCGCATTTATGACAGTCGCAGTGTCCCCGGATCACACAATCCCCTTTTGCGACCGTCTGACAAGCAAATGGTCAAAGGGGAAGCCAGATCCACTTAACAACCGTAGCCAGGAAGCTCATGAAGTGAGGCAAAATTCACTTGTCTCGCTTGGCAACAGAAAATTTGGGCTCGTTGTGGCCATAAGTTGAGGGTTACCTGTAGCTGCTGCTCTGCACCCCAAATCCTGGTGGCCGCAGAGGGAACCAGAAGTGTCTCGCTTGGAGGGACACAATAAGAGCAGCCAGATCCAGAAACCTGCGTGCATTATCCTCGGGGAGGTACGCTGGGGGTGTGGTTGTGACGCTCTCCACCTCTGAACTCCTGCTGTCGGGCTCCCTTCACCACCTGTTGCTTTGTACTGTTGTGTTATCATTAAAACCTCCTTGGTCCACTGTGCCTCGTGCTGGACTTTCCTCTTAATGTTGGGCAGGGGGCTGGACGAGCAGAGCGGCTCCAAAGCCCAGCTGCCCGTAAAAAGCTTGTTTCTCGGGCCCAGCCTTCACAGCCCTGGGGGCGTTGCAAAACCCCCAAACCTTCCCCCATTGAGAAAAACCAGGGTTGACGGGAACAAGGTGTCCGAGCAGCCTGCAATGGGGGCAAGAGCGGCTGGCTTTGATTTTTGAAAGGGGAAGCCCCCCAAACTGAGACCAGCCACTGCTGGTCAGGAAGGGCTGGTCTGGCTGAGCGGGGTGGGGGGGTGGGTATCCAAAAGACCTGGGGTGTGTGTGCGTGTGTGTGCAGGTGTTGCCAAGAGACCGGTGCCACCGGCCAGCTGCTCCGGAGGGGGCCATGTGGACTTCCTACAGCTGCTGAGCCAGCCCATTGGATGAAAAATGTCCATCTATCACAGTGCTTTCCAAACTTGGGATAAATTTACCCCCAAATCGGGTGGAGTCACATGCACAAACAGGGGGCCGTAAAACTGATGTATAGGTTGCCACGTGTGCTGAAATGTATTTGAGAATCTCCCCGAGAATTCCTGTTAAGAGGAAGCAATTGCCAAATGACAGAAAGATCGTGCTTTTCTAATACAGGACATCCTCGAGTTACGACAACCATTCATTCAATGACTGTTGGAAGTTAGGAAGGTGCTGAAGGAAGGGACTTGCAAATGAGATCCCAATAAAGGAGAGTATTTGTAGCTCAGGGTTGAGGTGAGGGGACTTTGGTGCTCTCTGAGCTTGTTTTCTTGCAGATGTTTCATTACCAACTAGGTAACCTCACTAGCACTGATTAGACTGATGATGTTACCTAGTTAACATCTGCAAGAAAACAACCAAGCTCAGAGAGCACCAAGGACCCCTCATTCAGGGAGACTGTCTGAGGTTTTGGGGAAGCTTTGGCCTGAGCGATCACCCCGCCCTGAAACAGGGCATTGCCCTGCAGGAAACCCACAAGCCCCCACCCCATGGACCTGGGCATGAGGGTTGACCCCAAGGCCCCTCCAGGGCAAACGCGGGAGTGTAATTTCAAAAGGTGAATCCCTACAGACAGGGGAGGGGGGCAGCTTTAAGACTTGTGGACTTCAACTCCCAGAATTCCACCACCAGCATGTCCATTGATAGGTATTCTGGGAGTTGAAGTCCATACACTTGGGAAACGCTGTGCTAGAAGATGCCATTTAGTGGCACTGTGGTTAAGAGTGCAGCATTGCAGGCTAACTCTGCCCAGTGCCAGGTGTTCGATCTAGACTCAACCTCCTCCTGAGGTTGGTAAAATGACCCAGATTATTGGGGGCAACAGGCTGACTCTGTGAACTACTCAGAGGGCTGTAAAAGGGTGTTTAAGTCTTTAAGTGCTATTGCCATTCTCTTCCTGTAGGCAGAACTTGGGGGAGGAGTTAAAAGAAATATCAGCCTAGCTTCCCTACATAGCCACAAGTGAAACTAAGTCCAGCCCCCCATTGAATTTTGTTGACCCTTATCGACCCTTCCGAGCAGATGCCGACTACTGAGAAGATTCCTGTGCACAGGCCCTTAGCAATAAATCAGCTTAACTGGGCCTTCCTTCACCTGCGGACCTGGCCTTTCGCACCTGACACTTCCCGATGCAGGCTCAACCCACCAAGGCAGATAACCCAGATGTTCCCCAATCAGAAGTGACTTGGTGGTCAGAACTACCCTCTTTAAATACCTCCCACCCCAGAATTGCAAAGGAGAAAATTCAGATGATTGGATTAATCTCAATGAGACGTCTATCCTGGGGACCCAGTGGTAGAGAAAGGCAACCTTTTAGCAGACCCCCCCCCCCCCGCTAAATTTCTCCAACCGCCTCTTCCATTAAGGCCACGGGAAGAAATACCGAGCTGGGCCAAGCCTCACCCCCCAACCCCAATAAACCAAGCATTTAAAAAAATAATACAAAATAAGCACAGCTTTATCATAGAGGTTAATAAAAAAAGGACTAATGCTTAAATTCTGTATATGCCTTTTACAAAGCAAAAAACCAGAAAGGGGAAAAAAGCAGCAAAAGGAGTCCAAACAAAGCAATCTAAAGTCAGAATTTGATCTTTTTTTTCTTTTTTTTTTGTAAAACATTTTGTGTGTGTTTTTTTTTAAATAACGTATTCATGGTTACCAGCCATAGTCATAACAAAAGTTATTCATAATAAAATGTATCTAAAATAACATTTCTATTTCAAACAGGAACCTTGTCTCTCTACTATTTTTTTTTTTTAGAAATACAGTAGCTCTGTCTGGTTTGTTTTTCTCATATTTTTGTTTTGTTTTTGTACACTACTCTTCGGTACACACTTTGGAAAAAGGCTTTTCAGACTTCGAACAGTTCTCGACGGTGTGGAAGAGGAGAGGGGATTCGGCGAGAATTCGGTACCTAAGAACTGGCTGTTGGGTGAGGAAGGGGCTGCAAAGAGACACTGCCACCCCCAGCAGGGGCACCGTGCCCAGCTTGGGGGGGGGGGCAAAACCCACAGGCCGGCCCCCTCCACCCCCCCCACCTTACTTGGGTAAACTTTCCCTGCCCCCTGGTTGTGAAGCCCCCAACTCCCCCCTCACTCGACCTCTCACCTTGTTTACCTGAACCGGCTATCAACAGGTAAGGCTGGCCTTTGTTTGCAAGCCCAGCTCTGCCCTGTCCTTCCTGGCACTGCCTCCTTGGGAAAGGGGAAAAGGCTGGGGGGGGGGGGAGAGGGCAGGTAGTCCTGTCCTCTCCTCCCTCCTGCAGTAAAGCTATCCAAAACTAGGAAACCATAAGCAAGGCGGCTGGAGAAGAGGTGCGAAGGAGGGCCCGGGTAGTGCCCAACCCCACAGAAGCAGGGTCTCCTGCACCCCCCCTCACCCAAATCTTGTAGCCCACTCGGATGTATCCCCAAAGTCTTTCCTGCCCCCTCCCAGCCCCAATTTGCAGCCATGATCCCGGTTCCTGGATCACTTGCATGCCAGCCTCTGGGCAGGTTTTTCTGCCTGGCTTTGCAAATTCACCCCATCTGCTCCTCAACTTTGCTAAGTACCAGGAAACTCTGGGTGGAGGGGAAGCCCCCCACCCCACCCCACTCACACACCCCGTCCTCGGGTGCTGCTATGGCCAGTTTGCCCTGGTCCTACCTTCCCACTCTTCCCCCACCGTCCCTTTCAACAAAGGAAGACACACAATTATCCAACCCAAATGACTGAAGAACGAGAGAAAAACTTCTTGACCGGTTTGGGGAGATGCTGCATAGGTGTTCCGACCGTTTGCCCCCACCCCCACCCCCTTCCTGCCCCCTCCACAACCTGGGGTGGGGGAGGGTGGGGGGTCACGGGGAAAGGGAAGAGAGCCTGGAACCCATGCCAGGAACGCAAATCAGCTCAACTGAGAATCCGGCTTCTGAAACCTAAACGGGGGATCTCCGATCCACCCAAACTGCTTCAACAGAACTAGGCTTAATACTGCCACATTTTTAAAAAAAGGAAGGAAGGGAAAACAAAAAACAAAAGCCTGACTGGGCAGGAACTGAAGAGGTTAAAAAAAAACCCACTCTATTTCTGGGAGACGCCTAAGCTACTCTGTCCGGTTCTTCCAAAGAGGCGGCTTTCAGAGCGTAAAATGAAAAACTAACACCGGTTGTGTGCTGGATGCCCCCACTCCCCCCGCCCCCCATGGGCTGTTCCCTGGGGTCCCCCTCCCACCCCACCACCACTCTTGGTAGAAGCAAGTATTAGAGGCACTTTTAAAATTGTATAAGTCACCTGCTGCACCCTTTTCCCTCCTCTTCTGCCTTCTTCCCCTCCGAGGCAGAGACCCAGAGCTACCGGGGGAAACGGCTCAGGTGAGCCAGTGCAAGGGGAGGGGTCTTTCAGCATGACCTCTGGTTCTACTCAGGTGTCACCTTGGATTCCCTTCCCTGTCCCTTCCTGGGAGGGCGAGAGAGGAGGTAGGCACTGGAAAGGAGGGGAGGGGGCCGAGAGAGGAAAACCAAATCGGAAATTATACCGGGCCTAATTTAGGCCCCCACGTCCGCACGTTAAACCGGGGAGACCGCCACCTCCCCTGTACATCAAAATATTAAACCAATATCTGAAGTTATAAGAATAATAAAAAAAATAGGAAAAAAAAATATTAGAACACAATAAGATGGTAAAGATTGTAGTGACAGTTTTTTCTCCTCTATTCCTCTGGCTGCTAAGGAACGCTGGAGAAGGGCGAATTTTGGGGGGTGGGGGTGTCAGAGGGAAACAAAAAAATTATTCACCTACCCCCGTAATGACATACCCCTGGGGGAGGGGTTTAAAACAAAAAACAAAAAACAAAACAAAAAAAAGGAATGGGAGGAGAAAAAAAAAATAAACAGCCATCCTAAAGCTTCTCAGGAATATGCCCGCAGATCCAGCTTGTTCAGATGGTTGAGGTCTTGTCCGTGCCATCTGCAAGAGAGAGGACAGGGCTCAGCATTGAGGAGGCTGGTGTTCACCGGCGTTTTCTCGACATGGGCGGTTGGGGGGGGGGGGAGATTTGATATCTTGGGGATCTTTGAGTTTATTCAGATGGGTGTAAACAGGTAAATACACACAAAGAGAGGCTAGAGCAGGGCTTGGCAACTTTTAAGACCTGTGGATTTCAACTCCCAGAATTCCCTGACTTTAAGATCTGTGGATGCTTTGCTGGCTGTGGAATTCTGGGAGTTGAATTCCACAGGTCTTAAAAGTTGCCAAGATTGGACACACCAGGTGTTAGAGCATTCTTTGCACAGATTTCAAATCTTTGTATTATTTTTTTTTTAAGGCAAGGAATCTTTGAGGCTCTTAATTGTTCTCCCTGTTGGGAATTTTCTTCAGGAGCCGCTAAGAACTCCCTGAATATCACAGGTGGCAAGTGGCTCTCCTCTCTCCCTGGAAGCAAGTCATCCCTGGGGCGACCAAGGCCATTTTGTGTGTTTTATTGTTGTGCGCCGCCCTGAGTCCTTTCGGAGATAGGGCGGCATATAAGTCCAAATAATAAATAATAAATAAATAATAAATGTTAGTCCTTGCCTGGGAGACAGGTGGCTCTCCAGATGCCCCTCAGGTCCCAGGGGCTTTCGCCATAAAGGAGGAAGGAAGGACAGCCGCAGCTCAGCTTTTAAGACGGGCAGGGCCTGAGCAAGCCGGGCTTTCAAAGAATGTCAGAAACTGACCGGTCACCTATCCTGAGTCGGCCTTGCAGGATTCCGGAAGGTCCACTTCAGGAAAGGTCATACGACCTCTGAGCAGCAAAGTAGCAGCTCTGAGTCGGTTCAGGTCGTCCCTTTTTATCAGAGTCTTGCAAGATAACCAGGCTGGCTATGACATTCAAAGCCCCGAGTTGCTCCTAAATGGAATTTACCACTTCCTGCCCCAGGGGACACAGAGAGACTCATTTTGTGGATCTACAGGTAGTCCTTGACTTACAATTGAGCCCAAAATTTCTGCTGCTAAGCGACAGTTTTTAAGTGAGTTTTGCCCTGTTTTACAACCTTTCTTGCCGCAGTTGTTAAGTGAACCCAGCTTCCCCATTGACTCCGCTTGTCACAAAAGGGAATCGGATGACCCCAGGGCACTGCAACCGTCATAAGTACATGCCGGTTGCCAAGCATCCAAATTTTGACCATGCAACCATGGGGATGCTGAAACGGTCGTGTGGAAAATGGCAGTAAGTCACTTTTTTCAGTGCTGTTGTAATCTGGATCAGTCACTATATGAGCTGTTGTAAGTCGAGGACTACCTGTATTAGATTTATATCTACTTTTCCTTCAGAAGGTCAAACTGGTGTTCATGGCCCTGCAAGGAGACCGAGCTGAGTGACAGTAGTGGACAAGACGGACCCTTCAGCCTCGGCAGCCAGGGCTGGACTGTTTCCACACCTTCAGAAGGATCAGGGCACCCATCGCTGGCCTTCCTTTGCCAACCCAAAGCCTTTCTCGTCATCTGGCAAGCCAGGGCTCCTTACCGCCCAGCGCGTGCTCCGTCATGCTCAGGCACAGTGACTCCAAGGTGGGGTTGATCTCCAGATCCGTTCCAGGGAGCTGGCAATCTGAGAGGTTGGAGGAAAGGGGAGAAGAACCATCAGGCACAGCCGTGGGTGGGTGGGTGGGGGGAGACGGCACTGCTGGTGGCTAATGCTCAGGGGCCTCAAATTTGCTCCAGTCGGAAAGGAACAGGAAAGAGAGGAAAGAGGATAAGGGCGGATCCTTAAAAATGAGGAGCAAGCCCTTGGCAGACCCTCGCCCAAAGACCCAGCCCCCTGCTTAGGGAAGGGCTGGTGCCCCAGGGCCCAGAATCCGATCCAGAGAGCGGCATTCCCAAGAGATCCCCTGCTGCAGGACGAAGACGGACGCCTCCTATGCAGGTGACAGGCAGAGGGTCCGGCTTACTCACCCTGTGGGAACATGAGGATGGCCTGAGGAGAGGTGTGGACGGGCAGTGAGTGGGTCCGCTGGACTGAGCTGCGGTTCTGGCCGGGCATGCTGTTGCTGCCCCCGGGATTGGCAAACCAGAGGTTCTACGGGAGAGGAAAGAAGCTCGTTGGCACAGGATCTCCGAGAAGATCAGAAACAAAGCAGGAATAAATGAATAAAAAATCTTTCTGAAATGCAAAGCCTCTCTGCTGCGAGGGCCCGCAGGATAAGGGCCACGCTGGACACACCTGCTCATCACAGCGGCATCAAGGCAGCCACGGGTAACTCAGTGGGAAAAGCCAAGCATGGATGCCACTAGCGAGTCTCCTTGGTTTCACCCAACAAGGAACCCCTGACCTCCATGGGGTCAGAGCAGCCAAATAACAGACTCCAGCTCAAGCTGGAGATCCTAAACTATTCCAGACAAGTGGCTGTCCAGTCCCTTCTTAAAAACCTCCAGTGATGGAGTACCACAACTTCTGGTGGCAAGCCGGTCCACTGGTTATTCTCACTTTTAGGAAATTTCTCCTACGTTGCTTCTCTCCTTGATTAGTTTCCATCTGTTGCTTCTTGTCTTGTCTTGTCTTTTGGTGCTTTGGAAAATAAACTGATCCCCTCTTCTTTGTGGCAGCTCCTCAAATACTGGAAGACTGCTATCCAAACTAGAACTAAGGAGGAATTTCCTGAGAGTGAGAACAATTAACCAGTGGAACAGCTTCCATCCAGAAGTTGCAGATGCTCCATCCGTGGAGGCTTTTAAGAAGTGATTGGACGAGCATGTGTCTGAAATGGGATGGGGTCTCCTGCCTGATCGAAAGACCCGCGCATGGCAGAAGATGGGAGGCCATTGACAGAGGCTTCTCCGGCATGGTGGACAAAGGCAGGGGCCCCTTCTTCCAAGCAAGCAGAGAGCGGCATGGGGTGGGGGTGGGGGTTCACTGTGGGGTGATGGCCAAAGATCCCCCCAACCTTCTCCCAGTCGTGGCACCTCTTGACCGGCAACAATTTTTCCAAGGCATTTGGATGTTATTCTGCCAAATTAAAGTGGATCTCACCTGCCGACCTTGGCTCCCCAGATTCGGGCTGGTCAGTCCGTGCCGTGGGGAGACTCCACCGATCCCCACAGGACTCAGGATCCCCATGCGGCTTGGGGGGATGGCACGGGGGGGCATCTGGAACTGCCTCTGTCCTCGGCGGGCCACTCCCACCCCCACAGATCCAGCTATGGGGAGAGAGTTGGAGCCAAAGGCCCACCTGGAAAAACACAGGGAGAGGAAGTCAATCCTATCGGTGGCCAGGCTGTCGTCGGGTCTGGCATGGGTTTATGTGAGGGGTAGGCGTGCGCACCGGCCCTTCACTCACACAGCCCGGTTGCAAATAGGCCACAGTCCAGTCCCACAGGTTGGGCACCCCTGAAGCGCAAGGCTACTTGGGAGGCCTTCTTGGGAGGAACACAATGGGAGCCAAGGTTTCCTTCCTTCCTTCCTTCTCTTCTTCTTTTCTTTCCCTTACATTTGATGGCAGCCAGCCAAGGGGAGGGTGGCCTGACTCCCCCCATCCCAATCGCAAACAGGAAAGTTAACTAAGCAGACCCCCCTACCCAGGGTGAGCCGCAAGGAAGCCCACCCGAAATCTCCTCACTCTGACTAAGGATGCCCCGGCTTTTTCAAAAAGGATCCAAACCAAGCCGTTTCCATTTGCATATCGCAACCTCACAATCACAGGGGCATTTGCAGGGTTTTTTTTTTTACTATAGTGACAGCTTCTTTGAAGTATGAAAATATTCATTCAATGAAAAAAACCTCCCTGTCATTTTGAAGCAAAAAAGAAATCCATTTCTATTGTTTAACTAAATTCAGTTTTGCAAGCAACTGGGGGCAACGCTCTTCAGGATTCACGCGTTTTAAGCTGGCGGCTTCGGAAATAGTTCTGACACCGATCTGGTTCCATCTTTCCCGCAAAGAATCCCTGAAGTGTCACTTGCGTGGCAGGCAGACACCACAAAGTGACAAAGCCACCCAGACTTGCCCTTCGCTTGTCATAATATTAGCTAGCTCAACAGCTGCTCATAAAGCTCTGAAAGGCACCAAGGTCTTTTTGGGAACTGAGTTTCGCACGTGCAAAAGTCTCTCCTTGACATCGAAGAGGAGCTCTGCCTTCCTACAGGAGGAGGATTGCTAAAGACACGGACACTTGGTGGCTGCAAATCCAGCCGTATTCTGACCCGCTCCCGAGGCAGCCCTCTGCGCATCAAAGGTCTGGAATGGTCTCGGGGACGGGGGGATCCACTGCCAGGGCAACGATCGGGTAAATGAGGTTGAACCCAGACCAAGAAAGTGGTTTGTGAGAACACACCAGACAATTAAACCCCCTCCCCACACCTATTCATGAGAAAAGAGGGAGACTTCTCTCTTCTATACCGCTTCACAGTGCTTCACAGCCCTCTCTAAGCGGTTTACAGACTCAGCCTCTTGCCCCCAACAATCTGGGTCCTCATTTTATCAATCTCATGGGAAGGATACCATGAGCCTGTCAGGATCGAACTTCCTGGCTGTGGGCAGAGTCAGCCTTCAATGCTGCATTTTAACCACTGCGCCACACAGCCCTTTATAGAGTTCTTGCTATAGTTATAAGGTGAGCCGGATTGAGTTATTGCCATAAAGGCTTCATTGTAAGGGTTAGCATGAATAAGGCTTGGAAAAGTAGAGAGATGGATATAAATGCAAAAAGCAATCTAGTTAAGAGCAATAGTCTTCCCTATAATGATGTCTGTTTCTGAGAGCTGGACATTAAAAATGGCTGATTGAAAAAGAATCAACTTCTTTGAACTGTAGCGTAAATTATTGAATATTATCATGGACAGCCAGAGTAACCATTAAATTATTAGTAGAGCCTCGGTGGTGCCGTGGTTAGAATGCAGCATTGCAGGCAAACTGCTGTGTGCCAGACGTTCGATCCTGACCGGCTCAAGGTCAACTCAGCCTTCTGTCCTTCTGAGGTGGGTAAAATGAGGACCCAGATGGTTGGGGGCAAGAGGCTGACTCGGTAAACCAACCAACCTTCCTTCCTTCCTTCCTTCCTTCTCTCCCTCCCTCCCTCCGTCACAATGGTTAGAATGCAGCATTGCAGGCAAACTGCTGCCTGCCAGAAGTTCAATCCTGATCGGTTCAAGGTCGACTCAGCCTCTATTCTTCCAAGGTGGGTAGAGGCTGACTCTGTAAACTGCTTGGAGAGGGCTGCGAAGCCCTGTGAAGCGGGATATAAGTCTAAGCGCTAGTGCTAATGATCAATTATTGTGTATACCATGGACAGCAGAGTAACCAACAGAGAGGTGCTGAATCGTATAAAGCCAGAAACATCCCTAGAAGCCAAAATCACAAGACTACGTCAGATTTACCTTGTCATGTGTGCAAATTCATTGGAGAAGCCAATGATGCTAGGAATGGACAGTGAATCAAGAAGCAGCAGCAAGTAAAAAGGACACTGGCTTGATACCATCCGAGCTGTTTGCAAAAGGGAACATGCATGGAAAGCACTCGCCTACAAAGTTGCCATAACAGAAGAGGTAAAGCTACTACTATAGCTATAAAAGAAGCTCTAGTTCTACACAGTGTCTGTTTCTTAAATCTGGTCAATCTTGCCAGGTTTTGCTTCACTGAGGAAAGCCCTGGAGCTCTGCTCAATTAGCCTAGGAAGCTCCTCGTGCCCGCTTGGATGCCATGCTGGCATTTTACGCCCGCCCGCGGTGCCCAGAGACCTACCCTTTCTGGGGGCGATAGCCTTGCATGTCCAGCACGGCCTTCCTCGGGAAAGTACGGAGCAGCTTCAGGACCTGCTGCTTCCAGGACAAGAGGCGCTTTTTCTGGGTCTCAGTGAAGGCCTGTCAGGAGTGGGACAAAGGTAGCCATATTGGGAAAGGGAAAAAACCAGCAGCCTCAGACGGCTGATCTCTGGGGCTCCCATAATGTCCAGGCTTACCTCGTGCATCAAGCACTTCTCTATCAGTTGGAGGTAACTGGTGATGTTCTCCTCGTCTGGCCGGGAGACGAGCAATTGCGTACACACTGCAGGAAAGGAGGGGGAAATGGTTACGGAGGGGCCCCTGGAGCAACGGAGAAATCGGAGCTTCTTTGAGTACCATTGTCTGTCTAACTTATATACCACTAAAATCAAGCAACTCCTAGAGGCTTACACCAAAGCTGGAAAACCACAAGCCAAATACAATGTAAAATAACAAAAAGAAGCATCTTGATGCTCTCTGAGCTTGGTGGTTTTCTTGAAGACGTTTCATAACCCAACTAGGTAACATCATCAGTGCACTGAGAAGCACACTGATGATGTTACCTAGGTGGGTCAAGAAATGTCTGCAAGAAAACCACCAAGCTCAGAGAGCACCCAGGACCCCACAGTTCAACCCTGAGCTACAAAGAGACCCACAGCACAGCCCACTCATTCTAGTGTTCTTGAAGGCCTTGCTGAAAAAAGTCAGCGTAACCTATCCTGGTTGCTGGGGGCAGATATAAAGGGCCTGACCCCCCCTCCCCCCCTCCCTCCCAAAGAGCTCACCTTTACCCATCACGCGAGTGAACTGGCCTGCAATGTCCCCTTCGGCGATCGGTGCCGCTCCGGATTCTCCGTCACACGGAGAGCCTGTTGGGGGCGGGAAGTGGTCCTCGGGGGCTTCCTTGTCCTCGTTGCTTTTCTCCAGGCCCAGCGTGGGACCCCCCCTTGGCTCGGCTGCCAGTGGCTGGGCCTCCTTGGATGCGGCCACAGCATGCAGAGTGTGGAAGGCCTTGATGGGGGTGGTGATGATCTGCTGCAGTTCCTGAAGCGCGTTCCATAAGTTCCCCCCTTCCAAAATGTCCTGGAGAGAAAAGAGGGGGAGGGGAAGGATTCTCCTGGGATTCTGCTTGCCTTGTGCCAGCTATTTCTCTTCGCTTAGGCATTAATGAAGGGCTTTCCCAACGCCCTTCATTCTGACCCCCTTCACTTTCGTCATGCTGCAGCCTGATGCTACGGGTGTTGAAATTCATTTTTCAGCCAACAACTGCTGGAAACAAGGGGGAGGGTTTTCCTGCAGGGCTATCTGCTTAGCGACTGCTGGCTCTGATCCAGCATTCTGACCCAACAGCTGCGTGACACAACTCTCTGCCAGCAAACAAAGAGCAATGCATCTCACGCAGCATCCCAAGGCACACACATTTGGTGTAACTTTTAAGTCCTGCATCCTATGCTACGGCAAACAACGCCTGCTCATTTTGTTTCCACTTGCACGAAAACCAAGTATTTAATGAGATAATTTCTGAATGTTGAATAAAGAGAGAAACTCTCTCTAAACTAGGGGTGACCAACCTTGGCCACTTTAAGACTTGTGGACTTCAACTCCCAGAATCCCCAGCACAGCTGTCTAGGCAATTCTATGAATTTTAGGAATTAAAGTCCACAAATCTTAAAGTTGCCAGCTGATGGAGGAATTCTGGGAGTTGAAGTCCACATATCTTACAATTTCCAAGTTTGAGGAAGTACTCAACCTTTTCTTCACAATGGACACCCCCCCCCCGCCCCCTGCCAAGACTTAACATTTAAATCATAATATTTCTTCAAGCCTTCACGGACCCTCTTGTGACATCACAGCCCCCCAGAGGTCCGCGGACCATAGTTGAGAAGCCCTGCTCCAAACCATTCAAACAACCCATGGTTGACCATGGAATCCCAGGTTTGCTCAACAGGTCCCTTACCTTCTCCAAGGACTTCAGGACACTCTGCCTTTCACGCAACTTTTGGATACTTAAGGCAATTTTGTGCCTCGCTCCTTTGGTCACATTCTGCGTAGGGGAGGAGGAGAAGAAGAGCTAAAAAGGCAATTCAGACATGCACCTGCACTCTAGCCTTGAGGGGAGGGACATATCCGTGTCTTCAGAGCGGCCCCCTCAACGGTGTGTAATGTGGCATTTTGGAGGTGTCACTGTGACCAAAGTCAGAGGAATGGGAAACCAAGTTGGCTCTCCCAGGTACCACCCAACTGCCATGCCAGCCTTTCAAACTAGGCAGGAGGCAGCCCCTTTTCCCTGCTCTCCCTCCTGCCCTGCAATACCTGCGATTCCAGATGTTGCTCCGTGAGAGTCATCATCTCTTCGTAGGTCATTTGGGAGAAAAGGGCTGCGTATTTGTGGAGACGGAGGCTCTTCAGCCACGAGGGAACATCTGTGGGGAAGCACCAAGGAGTCAAGACTCCTGCCCCCAAAGCCCTGTTTCCTGGAGGAGACCACCAGTGAAGCACGCTGCTGGTCCCCAACAAACAGCTACATGCAGCCCTCCCTCCAACAGAAGTTCAAGGAGACATTTTTGGGGTGAAGTAAGAAATGATGATGGAGTTTCCCAGTGCTGCTTTGAGAGCAGGGCCTGCTCAAGGTCTACCAAGTCTCCATGCTGGGGCTACAAGAGCCCCCCCCCCCACTCCACCCCGTCTTCACAATCTCGATGCAACGTTCGGGACAGCCAAATCGAGGCTAACAAGGCCACATCCTCTTCCAAATGTATTTCTGGATGCCCCCCAAGTAATTGACTTACAGAACCCACTGAGGCGGTACACTTAAGTCTTTGACTTACAACCATAATTGAGCCCAAAATTTCTGTTCCTAAGCAAGAAAGTTGTTAAGTGAGTTTTGCCCTATTTTATGACCTTCCCTGCGAGCCGTTAAGTCAGTATCTTGGTTCTTAAGTGAATCTGGCTTCCCCACTGACTTTGCTAATCAGGAGGTCGCAAAAGGGGATCACATGATCTTGGGACACTGCAACCGTCATAAGTACATTCCAGTTGCCAAGCGTCTGAATTCTGATCCCGCGACCATGAGGATGTTGTAACGCTTGTGTGAAAGACGGTCACAAGTCACTTTTTCCAGTGCCGTTGTAACTTTGAATGGCCACTAAATGAACCACTGTGAGCCAAGAACTACTTATATAGCTCTGTGGGACAGGCTGGGCTTTTCTCTGTAATGTATCCTGCATCATAAACCCAGTAAAAAAAAAAGAAATGGCAACCCTGAAGAAGTCTGAGAGGATCAGAAACACGAGGGGCTCTGCTGACCCCTCCGATCCCAGGGCTGGAGTTACACAAGCCAAGCAGAACCTTCCCAGCCCTGGCGGGCCTCTGATCTGGGGCCCTGATTCGACCTTCCCCAGCACCTGCCGTACCTTTCATGCCACTGCCGTCCTCTTGAAAGGTGTTCCGACTGCCGGGCTGTTCCTCAGTCTGCTCGCTGCCTGAGGAGGCCACGCTGCTTTGGGGCGAGAGGGGCGCGTGCTCCCCGCTGGAGATGAAGGCCGGCCTGGCCCCCATCTCATCCACGTTCATCCACTCGCTGGTGACCTGCTGGCCCGACGGGATGAGCGACATGGAGCGCTTCAGTGGGCTGGGGTGGATTTGGCAAGGAAGAGCTGCGAGGAGCAGACAGTCACAAAATTATTCCCAATTCCTTTCATGGAAAGGACATCGCGATTGGCCCAAGGCTAACCAACTGGCTTTCGTGCATAAGCTGGGACTAGAACTCCGTTTCCTGGTGTTGGCCCAAAAATCACCCTGTTAGCTTTCATGCTTAAGGCAGGACTAGAACTCCCAACCTCCTTGTCATTGGCCCAAAGTCACCCTGCCGAATTCAAAAAGTCGAACAATAAAAGTAGCAGGTTGTATAGCTGGCACCCAAACTACGAGGCTAAGAGTCCCCCAAGTGAAGGTTTCCTAGCTCACAAGCCAGGATTTGAACACATCTCACAGAAAAGCCTGTTTTGATCTGGGAATATGAAAAGCGTTTCCAGCTCCTGACAAATATCTCAGCCTCCCCCCCTCACCCCATTTTCCATCCCTTTCCCCAGCAAAGCCCTTCCGAACCTGTGCTGCCCGTGCTGCTCCCAATACTATTGATGCCCGAGGACACCGAGCTGGCAGGGTGGAAGGACATGTGACCATTTTCCCGTGGTGCCTTCTCCTGCCAACCGTGGCCCAGGTCTCCGAGGCCCGTCTCCCCTGGACCTTGCCAGTCGTCAGAGCCTTGGCGCGAGTGGTAGGCCGTGTCTGGCCGTGCCCTGCCCTGGCTGGGGTAGCCGCTGGAAAGGCGCTCCTCGAGATGGTTGAGCCAAAGGGCCAGGGAGCTGCGGTCATCCAGGGTGGTGGCCGGATGAATGAGGGCGTAGGACAGCAGCTGCCGGCTCTCTTCGATGAAGAGGTTGCTCTCGATGGAGTAGGCCAGCACCTTCTGCAAAAGCTTCATGTACTCGGACTTGGCGTCTGCGTTGCCGGGCTGGAGGAGAGGCAGGTGGGAGAGGAGCAGGGAGACCACTTTGTCTTTTGGCTCTTGGTGCCATTGGTTGATGATGGCTGGCGGGGAGGAGAAGAAGAAGTAGTAGTAGTAGTAGTAGTAGTAGTAGTAGGAGGAGGAGGAGGAGGAGGAGGAGGAGGAGAAGGGACGCAAATCGGACAAGGCCGCTTCAGAGCCAGGAACCTCTTCCGGGCTCTCCAATGGAAGACCCTAATCTGGAGGCGGGATCCTTCCAACCAAGGCCTACGTCAGTTGTGGGGAAGGAGTGTCCTTTTATGACTTGTGGACTTCAACTCCCAGAATTCCTCAGCCAGCCATGCTCATTCTGGCAGTGGAAGTCCACAAGTCATAAAAGGCCCACTGTCCTCCACCCTGGCCTTCAGGATGGCTGGCTTGCAGCCACAAGAGCGATACCACGGCCATAAGGGCCCTATTGGATGCCACCCTATCTCTTATAGGCTGTTACTTTTACACGGCTGTTATATTTAACAGTATAATGTATACATCAGCCAAGGGATTTCAGCTGGCGGGATCTAGGACAGGGCTCTCCAAACGTGGCAACTTTACGACTTGTGGACTTCAATTCCCAGGATTCCCCTGCCAGCCTTGCAAATGCCTGCAGTTGTAAAGGGAATCATGCAGTCGTTAAGCAAATCTGGCTTCTCCAATGGGCGTCGCTCGTCCGAAGCCGGCTGGGAAGGTCACAAATTTCAATCACGTGACCTCAGGACACTGCAATTGTCATAAACACATGCCAGTTGCCAAGTGCCTGAATTTTGATCAGGTGACGGGGTGGGGGGTGGGGAATGCTGCAACGGTCGTTAAGCGTGAAAAGCAGCTGTAAGTCACATTTTCCAGTGAAGTAACTTCAAACAATCGCTAACAGAATGGTTATAAATCAAGGATTAGCTGTACCCAAATGGACAAACTGTCAGAATGCAAACAAAAAGGAGGTGGGGAGAAAAGCTCACACTATACACACAAACACACACACACACAAAATCTTGACTTACCTGCGCTGTTAGCTTCAGATTCCAGAACATGGATCTCTGTGCAGTCGGCCAGCGAGTGCTCCAGGCACAGCTGCAGAAAGCGGGCTTGGGTGCGAGAGATGCGCTTGAGAAGGGAGAGCAGGGCGACCGTCTGCTCACATTCGTTCCAGCCTTTGAACCAGCCGGCCAGGATGCCCACCTGATCCCGGAACATCATGATGGCCAGCGCCTTGGCCTTAGCAGCAACGCACCCACAGAGGGGTCAAGAAAAGCACAGGGAAAGGGGCACCCCTCACATGTTTTCAAGGAGGGGGGGGGTTTAGCAGATAGGCAGCACCACAACACCGATTTTCACTCTAGTAGGGTCAGTCAGAAACTCTTGGTTCCCTGTAGGTTCTTTGGGATTCCTCTTCTTTGACGGATCCTTTCAGATCTCCCTGTACAAAAGGGAGAAAAATACATATGATACTCTGGAAATCCCTCCCCATTTCTCTATTATCTAGCACAGATTGGCCATGTTAACACTTGTGGACTTCAACTCCCAGAATTCCCCAGCCAGCTTTGAAACACAGAGGTCAAAAGAAAACACAAACACCTGCTCCTTTAAACACTTAACAGTACACTAAGATATAAAGAGCAGTTGAGAGAATTGGGTAGGTCTAATTTAATGAAAAGGCGTCCCAGGGGTGACATGATAGTAGTATTTGAGGGGCTGCCACAAAGAAGAGGGGGTCAAATTATTCTCCAAAGCACTGGAGGGAAGGGCAAGAAAGAATGGATGGAAACTAATCAAGGAAGGAAGCAACCTGGAATTAAGGAGAAACTTCCTAGCAGGGAGGACGATTAACCACTGCTTGCCACCAGAACTTGTGAATGCTCCAACCCTGGAGGTTTTTAACAAGAGATCGGACAACCATTTGTCTGAAATGGTGTAGGGTTTCCTGTCTGAGTTGGACTAGAAGACCTCCAAAGTCCCTTCCAACTCTGTTAAACCCAGAAACTTACTAATTGTGTTTTCTTACTTCTCGTGTAAGCTATTTTGAGAATTATTTACAAAGAACGATGAACCTGACATTCTTCGTATTAGAGTTAGCTAGTCAAAGAAAAAAGTAGCATGGATTTATGGAGACGGTGTTTGGATGAGCGTCAAAAGGAAGAGGAGAGCGTGAGGACAATCACCTCCAACAAATTGCATTTTGAGAGGCTCAATGGAGAGAGGTATGCAAATTCTGCAGCCCCAAGAAGCAATATCGTAAAAGCTTTAAATGACTTCCCCAAGACCCCCAAAGGAGACAGACGCCGGTTGAGATGGATGAATCTAATTAACTACCAATCAAAGCCAGGCAGCCAGCGTGCCTACAGGAAATCCCTGAAATTTCACAGGTTGGGTTAAAGGTGCAGGAATTCAAGACAAGACAAGAGCAATCCAGAGACTCTCATCCACCAGGTCATGGTTGTCCCAAAGGTGCTTTTTCAAGAGACAACTGGACTTTCTATGTTCTTTCTTAGATGAGAATAGACTGAGGAAACAGCTGTTTGGGTCCTTCTACTCTCTGGACACTATAATTAGAGTTAACTGAAGCAAGCCTACTCCCCAAAGAAAACAACTAGGAGGAGTCTGGAGGGGCAGCTGGCCCTAATTATACCTTCAAAAGAAGAAGGAAGGCAACACGCAACCAAATGCCATCCGCAGTCACATGCACACCCAGGAGAGGCCCTCTGCCACACAGGTAGGGACCGGGAGCATCGAAGAGGGAAGAACGGACCAGCAACACAGCACCAAAGGGACGACAAGCCAAAACTGGACACGAGTTGGGTAGTCTAAAGAAAAGCGTGACTCCAGGTCAGTTAAACTTGGTGGACAGATAAAAGAGGGAATCCTTGAATTATGACCACATCCAAGCCCAAAATTTCTGTTGCTAAGCAAAACAATTGTTAAGTAAGTTTTGCCGCATTTTATGACAGTTCTTGCCATAGTTATTAAGCGAATCACTGCAGTCAGTAACAGGTTGTTAAGTGAATCTGGCTTCCGATGCTGCAAAGGTCGTTAAGCATGAAAAATGTGCATAAGTCCCTTTGTTTTCAATGCCACTGTAACTTTGAACGGTCCCTAAATGAATTAAGTCGGGAACTACCTGTCCTTCACTTTGAAATCTTTTGCACATCAAACTTTGATATTTGCTATTCAGATTTTGCCCAAAGGAGGGAAATGTATGTCCGTTATACAAACAAGCCAGGACGAGAAACCTAGAATTACAGTCAGGTTCCAGTGACTCAGCTAAGCCGAAATATCCTTTACCAAACACTTCTGGCCACTTCCCCCGCTGACTCCAAAAATGCAAGGCTAAGCCCATTTTGCTACTCCAAAACACACTGCAGGATGTTTAACTGGAGCAAAAGAATACAACGCAGATGAGCTGTGGTTATCCTTCCCCTTCCCTCTGGGCACCCTAGGGCATGCTTCTGGTTCTCACCCTGCAAATCAAAACCAAGGAAACCTCACTGCCACAGGTCCAAAAATAGGACGTGTAAATCAGAAAACAACAGGAGCCTCCAATTTCACTCCCGGCTTTCCAATTCAGAAAGTGGACGCAAGAGAAATGACATGGTTTTCAACTTCAGGGGCTGATAGAAACGGAGCTCTCCCGTTTCCAGGCCGAAGGAGGCCGGAGAGCTTAATAAAAAGCAAGTCTCGGCTATTGTGATACTTGCAGCTTGTGTTGCTCTCGGACAACGCAGAGAAGATACGAAGACGGAAGGCATGCAACTAGTTTCATCATAATATGGTTAGTTGCAGGAGAGCGATGCACAAGTCCTTATTTTGGATTAACATGGAAACGTAACACCACCTTCTTTGAGGAAGGAGGATTCTTCGAAACCCTGCATGGATATTTGTTGTGTTGCTGATGCAAAAATGATATTTAGGTGGGAGAGAGAAAAAAAACTTTGAAAAGAAGTCAGATTTTTTCCTAATGTGTTCATTCCGATGAGCTTCTAAGACAAAGCAAGGTTTCATGTTCTTCTTACTAGAGAGGCTGTCTACTTGCATGGCACAAAACAGAGTTGAGAATAACTGTGACTAGCAGTGTCCAAACTTGGACTAACTCTCAGAATTCCTCAGCCAGCTGTGAGCTGAAGTTCACAGGTCTTAACATTTCCAAGATTGGAGACCCCTGACCTTAACAGTAGACACCTTAAAAGACATGCCGGTGTAAAAGAAGTGAGGCAGCAGCATTTGAATGGCCCCTGTTCCTATACAGGTAGTCCTCAATGTATGACCACAATCGAGCCCAAAATTTCCATTGCTAAGTGAGATATTTGTTAACTTAAGTTTTGCCCCATTTTACGACCTTTCTTGCCACTGTTGTTAAAGGAATCACTGCAGTTCTTAAATTAGTAATTAGCCAGTCTGGTTTCCGCATTGACTTTGCTTGTCAGAAGGTTGCAAAAGGGGGCCACCCCAGGACACTGCAACTGCCATAAACAGGAGTCAGTTGCCAAGCATCTGAATTTGGAACATGTGACCATGGGGATGCTGCAACGGTCATAAGTGTGAAAAATGGTTGTAAGTCTCTTTTTCAGAGCTGTTGTAACTTTGAACTGTCACTAAACGAAGAGTTGTAAACTGAGGATCACCTGTATAGTCATTACAGCCAAGAAACACTGCTTGCTACCCAGTGATCCTTCCCTCGCTTCTCTTGCAAAAACAGACGGAGTTTTAGCTGGCCCGACTTGTCTCTGCACAAACCGTGTCCAAAGCACACATACACACACCCATTTTTTCTCTATGGCAGCGCCTGCCAGCCACAACAGCTTTGCAAACAAGCTATGCAAGAGAAGTGCAACAACTTGTCAATCTTGGCTTTTACGCTCTCACGGTCTAGGACACACAGAACACATTGTGGAATGACCCATCCTGAAGCTTGGCTTTCAGATTTGCTCTTGGACTTGGCCAAGTTTTCTCCGTCAGGACAAAAAGCACATCTCAAAGATGCAGCAAGAAAAGTCAAACATACAGATTAGGTGAAACCTGGCTCTATAGCAGTAACTGGGAGAGGAATTTTGGAGTCCTAGTGGACAACCACTTAAGTATGACCAGCCGTGTGCTGCAGCCACCAAACAAGTAGTGCAATCTTAGGTTGCATTAACAGAGGGATAGAATCAAGATCACGTGAAGTATTAGTACCGCTTTATAAAGCCTTAGTAAGGCCACGCTTAGAATGCTGTGTCCAGTTTTGGTCACCATATTATAAAAAGGATGTAGAGACTCTGGAAAGAATGCAGAAAAAAGCAACAAAGATGATTGGAGGCTGGAGGCTAAAATATATGAAGAATGGTTCAGGAATTGGGTACGGCCAGTCTGGAGAAAAGGAGGATTAGGGGTGACATGATAGCAGTGTTCCAATATTTGAAGGGCTGCCACAAAGAAGAGGGGGGGGGGTCAACCTGTTCTCCAAAGCACCTGAGGGCAGGACAAGAAACAATGGATGGAAACTAATCAAATGGAGAAGCAACCTGGAACTAAGGAGAAACTTCCTGACAGTGAGAACAATTAATCAGTGGAACAATTTGCTTCCAGAAGCTGTGGGTGCTCCAACACTGGAGGTTTTTAAGGAGACTGGACAACCATTTGTCTGGAATGGTAGAGGGTCTCCTGTTTGAGCAGGGGGTTGGACTAGAAAACCACCAAGGTCCCTTCCAACTCTCTTATTCTGTAACTTACTTCCTTGCATTAACCAGGCCTTTCTCAGGACCAAGAAAAGCAAACCATAAAACAAGATTCAGAGCCATTCTCATCCAAAGGTCTGAAAACAAACCAACATGTTCAAATCAGGGGGCAGGATGGACACCCAGCATCTGATCGAGCGCTTGTGGCACAATTTTGTCTTTCAGTAGAAGGGCATCTGTCATTGGCAATAAAACAATATAGATATTAAGTAGGACAAGCTTTTCAGCTAAATATAGGCCTCCAGTGTTTCTCACGTAGCTTCAGCCATCACATGCAATATGGAATTTTGTTCTTATCGACAGAGATCATTAGGACCTGTGCTAAATTTCTAATCTAGTGCAGCTTTCTAGTTCCAGTTTTAAAACCCACAAAAAAAAAGAAAGAACAGAATCTCATAAGGTATTATCTTTGGCTTGGCAGGCCTGGTTACAAAGTACTTAATATAAGTTAAGACCCCAGAAGATTATTATGAGGTTCAATCTAAAACATGAACCTTCCCCAATATGCTAAATGCTGCACAGCCACAATGAAGCTTAGGTGAGAACAGGCTACTGTATATAGGCTGGACCATTAATTTAGGAACTTAATGCAGAACACAGGATAGGAGCTCTTTCACATTAAAGGTTTACTCATAAAATCAAGTGTGCCTCCAATTTTACAATGTGCGATTGTCCCAGTTATCAAAATTTTGGAAAGAATTGACATAGCTGGATCCCCTTTTCATCATCAATTTCAGGACTCAGGATTAGAGAGAATCTCTGTACTGACCCCAAGACAGATTAACAAACTTTACACCTTGGAGTTACCACCGCTTCATCATGTTTGGAGGCGGCATTTCCAGAAATTGGAGCCTTCTTTTCTGGATCTGAAGACAACCATTAAACCTGGCTAACCATTTAAAAAAAAGCCCACCAAAGATTCCTCTATAAACAAGGAAGAAAGATCAGAGCATCACTAGGAGTAATTTCATGGAAGAAAACCTGTATCCGATAGCGAGGAACAAGTAGGTGGCTAAAATGAAGGATGCAGTAAGTCTAATAAGCTACAGCCGGCTTGCCTCAAAGAGGAGGGGCCTCTAACAAATCACCCAGAGCTAAATATTATGAATTCACTTTGCATTTGCTCTCCAGTATCCCAAAAAGGATCTGAGCAAAGAGGATATTGAACACCTGGCAGCAGAGTGCATGGGCCATACCGAGACAATGCATCACTACCAAGTATAGTCAGAAGCTGGTGAAATGCAGGAATGCTTTCCTCAGATGGAGAACATAGAGACAAAAACAGAGAAACATAGAATCCTAGGGATGGAAGGGACCTCGGAGGTCTTCTGGTCCAATTCCCTGCCCAAGACAGAAAACTTTATACCATCCTGGACATATGGTTGTCCAGTCTTTTTCTTGAAAACCTCCAAGTGATGGAGCACCCACAATTTTAGGAGGCAAGCCCTTCCGCTGGTTAATTGTCCTCACTGTCAGGAAATTTCTCCTTAGTTCCAGGTTGGTTCTCTCCTTGATTAGTTTCCATCCCTTGCTTCTTGTCCTGCATGCAGGTGCTTTGGAGGATAGGTCGACCCCCTCTTTCTTCTCTGTGACAGCCCCTCGAATATTGGAAGACATCATGTCACTCCTAATCCTCAGCCAAGGGGTGCTCTTGAAGGTGAACCTGCGAACCTTCCCACTGTGAGCTGAAGTAACTACAGAACTGAAGAAACTTCTTCCGTGAGAAGCGAAACATTTTCAAGGGGAAAAAAACCAAGGAAGTCCAGTTGTTTTTGAAAAGGCACCTATGGGACAACCACAACCTGGATGATTGAGAATCTCCATAGACATTTAACTACAGGATAGTATTTCAGCTCCCAGAGAAGTATCCTGCGAGCAACAATCACGCAGAGCAAGCTAAGTGATAGAACAAAAAAGAAAAGCATCACAGGGCAACAAGGTGAGGCAACAATCAACATAAGGACGAAAACAATGAGGCAGCCCATAAGATGAATACAGGCAAATATTCCCTGTAAAAGAAGCCTACAGGGAACATCTGAGTGAGTTTATAAGTTGTTTATGACACCATGGGGAAAAGTAGCCCTCGTTCCTCGGTGCGTGAAAGTCTTTGTGTCATAAATCTATATTTTAAACTTTTGGAAACTGCCAATGTCCCCAGATACATTTGTACCCCTGGAGTTTCCCCATCCTGGGTCCTCTTCCACCAAGGGGGTTCCCTACTGGAGGCAAAAGTGAGATGTTGGGCAGAAATGATCCCCAAACCACCTGTGGAGGGAGGCCTTCAACAGAAGCGTTGGAGACCTGGGAGAAAGGAAGGGAAAAAATTCCTTCCTTCCAGAGGGAGAGTTTATTTTAAAGGGGGCAAAAGCTGCAGACCCAGGAAAGCAGCTTCCTCCTTCTTGGGGGGCGGAAGAGCAACCCAGAGAGCAGGCAGCCCAGCAAACGGATCCACTTTCGTAGAAACTTTATTGTTTTAACTTTTATATGCCTAATACTTTCACGCCTTGAATCCTGGAATGCTTTTATACAGGCCGCCCAGAGTGCCTGGCTGGCTGGTGAGGTGGGCGGCATATAAATTTAATAAATTAAATTTGGGGGGGGGTCAGGGAGGGGTAGAGGCAGCCCTAGGGAGGAAGGGGTTTCGGGGCCAGGCAGACCCTGAGGACCCCCCTCAGCCGAGGAAGCGGCATCCTGGCAAGGGAAGGGGGGCCGGGCGAGGGTCCCCCTCCTCTCAGGGGGGCTTCGGTGCCCCAGAAACGCCGAAGGAGGATGGGGGGCGCGCCCACTTCGGGAGGGGGGGAGAAGAGGACTGTCCTCCCCCCAGCCCCCCCCAGAAGGGAAAGTGGGGGGTCTTCATAACAGCCAGGACCAGACCCCCCCCGCCCCACAACTGTCCAATTAAGAGGGGGGGCTTCGGCGTCTGGGAAGGGTCTCAAGTCCAGCCGCGCCGCTCCTTTCGGGCTGCGACGGGAGCCCCCCCCCGCCCCCATGGCGTGGCTGGGGATGATGGGGCTGGGGTCGCGGGGGAAAGAGGCGGGGCACGCCGAGGCCCCCTCCCCGGGGGGCGGGGCCGCTGCCTAAAGACCCCCGGCGGGCGGGGGAGGGGAGGGGAGGGGGCCGGGCCGGGTCCCCTCAGACTCGGCGCTTTCCCGCCGCCCCCTCCCCCCGCCGCCGCCCCACTCACCGTCGCCGCGGCCCGCTCCGGCCCCACCGGGGAGGCCGAGTTCCACACACGCGCGCGCGCGCACGCCCGGAGACCCACGTACAGACATACATCCACGCGCGCGCGCCCCCACGCTCCCACACTCGCGCACGCTCACTCCCACACTCACACACGCAGGGCAGCTCCAGCCACCACACACTCCAGAGGGGGGCGCGCGACGTCACAACGCACGGCGACGTGGGGACGCACCCGGGACGACGACGATGACGGCACGCACGCACGCCCTCACTTTACGCACGCACGCACGGGAGCGCGCGGCCTGCCCGGCCCCGTCCAACCAACCAATCCACCCACTCGCCCCGGTCGCCTAGTTACGTCGTTCACCCTGCCGTGCCCATTGGCTGGCGAGGCGCGAGGCTTTCCTTTAAACCCTCCTCCTCGTCCCCCTCCGCCCGCCAATCTTTCTCGTCCTCCGGACTCTCTTCCGCCAATCGCCGAAGTCGGTTGGCGCGGGGTGGAGTTTGCGCGGAGGGGCTCCCGGGCGGCCAATGAGCTGGCGGGAAATGGAGGCAGGAGGCGGAGGTGGAGAGGGGCGTGGCCTGACAGCCTCACACCCGCAGCTTCCCGCCCAAATCTCGGTTCTCCCTCAGCGGCGGTGCGGGCTGGTGGGAGCGGCCTTGACCCCGCCTGGGCTCCTCCCGAAGGCGCCCCCTCCGCTCCCCTCGCGGCCTTCGGCCTTCCCCTTGGCTGTTTGGCTGGGACACCCCAAACACGAGTTAACCGAGCCTCTACTGAGGTGTTTGTGGCACGTCGCACTGCCCAGCCGTTAAATCCTCTTGCGGCCCAGCGCTGCGTTTGTCAAGCTCTGGGACTCTAAGATGGGTGGACTTCAAGTCCCAGAATCCCCCCGCCAGCAGGGAATTCTGGGAGCTGAAATCTGCCCCCCCCCCGCCTTAAATTTATACCCAGCAGGGTCAATCTATTGTGTGAACCCAGCCATGCATGGCAGGGACAGAGCATCCCAGCCAACTGGGTTCGCTAGCTAAGCCTTCCGCCTGTGCTGCAATCCCGGGTTGTGTGTGTTGCACGTTGCTTTCTTCCCCCTCAAGATGGCCCTGCGTAGGTGGGGTTTGTAGGACTTCCTTCCTCAACCTCCCAATCTTGATTTCCCCCAAGGAATTAGGGATCACTTGGCTTGCTTTTCATTCAGCATGCTTATTTATTTACTTACTATGTACATACACACAATTTTACATGCTGCCCATCTCACCTATAAGGTAGCGCCTATGTTATGGGAAACCAGCCAACTGTGGTTTATTTGGATAACTAGGGTTGAAGCTGACTATCTTTTAGCACCAGATATAGCAGATCCAATCTAGGTGACTTCCTTGCTATTTCTCAGCAGCTGGCCTTCTGTGATGCTTTGGATTCAGCTGATTGAGGATCCTGGGAACTAAATCTAAACTTGAGTTAAAGGGACCTACTTGCTCTGATCCAGGTCTGTTGGATCCCTCTTAAAAACCTCACACATTTCTGAGCATTCTTTTGCTCGGACATATTAAAAAATAAGTAATTTTTTAAAAAGACTACAAAACAGCTGTACAACCTTGGCAACTTTAAGATGTGTGAATGCATGGCTGGCTGGGGAATTCTGGGAGTTGAAGTCCACTGGTCATAAAAAAACCACTTTCCCAACCTTTCTCTACTAGGTCAAACCAATTTGCTGTCCCTCTGGTGTCCTGGCTTGCTTGCTTGAGGGACTCACTTTGCTAAACTACTATTTGAAATGGAGCTGAGGACTGCAGCCTCATTCCTAGCCTTAATGTCTCCTTGCACCTTTGAAAAATACTCCCAAATACAGCAACGTAAGCTCCCACCTTGTGGTCTGGGTTGCTCTTCCTCTTTTGCAACTAAAAATGCAAACCTTTGGCGTTGCTCTATGCTCCACCCCATCATCAGCAATTACTTCCTCCCAATCTGTCTTTCCTTTGCATCTGTCTCTGTCTTTCCTTTGCATCTGTCGGAGGGTGTCCCGAGCTGAAGAGCAACACATCCTGCCCAGGGCAGAAAGCACCGAACTCGGAGCTGCAAGATTTCGACTGGAGATACGACTGGAGATCAGCAGGGCAGAATGGTTAGCTTAAACAATTCCTAATTCTGGGTGGGGCCCTTGCTTCCAATATTGGCTTAGCAGGCTTGGAAAAGTGGTCTTTTTTAAAATTTATTTTAGGGGTCACTTTGCCAAAAAGTCAGTTATTTTTTCAGATCTGAGGGAGGTTTTGGAGGAACTGTTTCTTGGCCATCTCTCAAAATGAAGCTTCAAGTGAAACAGTTATGGCCCCAGTGGAAGCTCATGTTGACGGTTGGTAGAAACTCACTTCCTCTGCTGTGGTGTGCTGGATTGGAAGATAAGCATTTCAAAACAAGGGCATTTTGGAATAACAGTTTAAGGTATAACCAAGATGCAGACTGCCTTGTGAAGATTTAAGCCTATTTAGTCCTGAAATGAAAAGCCGGAACCCCCTTTTCTCAGGTTTTCAAAATGCTGCTGGAAAAATTTAATTTAGGCTTAAAATGTCCTAGAAACCAGGTTGGCAGATGAGATTTAACTTGACCTCTGGTAACCTTGCAATTTGTAATCAGTTCAAAACTTGTCTGTGTTTGTGGATGTTGCACCAACGATGCACACAGGCAACATGGTTTCTTCTGCCAAAGATCGGTCAGACCAACATTACAATAGCGAAGTGACAGAGGAGAGGTTGGGAGAAAAACTGTTACAAGTAGCCATATGCTGGTCTATGACCATTAATTAAGATTTGATGGATTGACTGTAGGCAAATGTCATTACATCTAGCAAACGGGTTCAGAATGAGGAGCACCAAAATTCAGGTGAAAAAGATGGGTTTTGTGAAGGATTGGTGTTAATGTTGTCGTTTTAAAAAATGAGGAACTGCAAAAGCAGAAAGGCATTAGAAAAATATCGCCTAGTTGCATATAATCCTTCAGTCTTGTGCAACCAGCTCGCCCACCCATCTGGAAATTGGAAATTTTAATATCAGTTTCAATTAAAGTTTATAGTTACTTCTAATCCTTTAGCTGTAGCAAAACGGACTATGGTTTTAAGAAAGCAGGCCTGTTTGGCATATGTCATCTATTCCCATTTGGTGGTTGTTGTTTTTTTACTGGATATGAGACTGAAATTTTTGAAAATATAGGCAAAAAAATGGGCTTTGCAGTATGTAATCAAAGAGGAAAGGAGGCCCATGTGTCCTTCAGGAAAATGAAATGAGACATGATAGACCTGAGTGGGAGATAAATCCTGGTTGCTCTTTCTTTTTCTTTTTCTTTTTTTTTTCTTTAGTCAGATTCTCTGGTTGTGTGTGATGTGGATCCAGCGCTCATTGAGAAACTAAAGAAATTTCGTTTCCAGAAGGAGACTAACAACACAGCTTTAATTAGTGAGTGGCTTCCTATGTGTTGCAAGTTAGTTTTTGGTCCCATGTTTTTTTTCCTTGGATACTCAAGCATTGAGACTTAGCACAATCACAGCTACTCCTCCATTTACAACCGTTCATTTAGTGAGCGTTCAAACTTACAACGGCACTGAAAAACGTGACCATTTTCAGCCGACTATTGCAGCATCACCAGGGTCACATGATCAGAATTCAGAGGCTTGGCAACTGGCATGTACTTGTGATGATTGCTGTGTCCCAAAGTCACGTGATCCCCTTTTGTGACCTCCTGTCAAGCCAAATCAATGGGGAAGCCAGATTCGCTTAACAACTGTGTGACTACCTTAACAACTGCAGTGATTCAATTAACAACAGTGGCAAGAAAAGTCGTAAAATGGGACAAAACTCACTTAAGAAATGTTTCATTTAGCAGCATAAATTTTGGGCTCAGCTGTGGTCGTAAGTCGAGGACTATCTGTATTAGGGCAAAACAGTGTGCTTGGCCCATACTTTGCACAAATTTAGCACTAAGCAGCACTCATACCCTAATGCAGGGGTCTCCAGTCTTGGCAACTTTAAGACTTGTGGACTTCAACTCCCAGAAGTCCACAAGTCTTAAAGTTGCCACGGTTGGAGACCCTCGCCCTAATGCATTTCAAGACTTTGTGCTTCCCCAGTGATTATGCGTGTGTGTGCTCTGTGTGTGTGTTTATGCTTTTAATGAACTCATTGTACAACTTTGTGATTGTGGTTTTTTAACCCAAAAGGACAGCAGCTCCCTAGTTTGAAATGTTGTCAGCACTTCGTGCCCCTTATATTAAAGTGGTTTTGATGTTCATTGAACCTCTGCTGGCAGCTGCATAGGCAATCTAACATCCGTGAATTTGTCATCACTTTGAATAAAGTGAAGGAGATATGAAAACAGCTCTTGGCTTTAGTCCTGCTTACTGTAGATTGCTTCAGCGCTATTAAAAAATTCAGGATTTCCATCTTAGTGCTCTGTGCCCACTCTTGTCTAGCAGCCATGCTGGAAGATTTGAGAAGGACAAGGAATGGGTGATAACAGAGACAGCGAGTTTTCTAGGAACCGGTGGAAGTGAAAAACTTGTTAATTGGTTTCTCCTCTCTCTGTCATCAGTGAAAGTTGACAAAGACAGACAGCTGGTGGTTCTGGAGGAGGAATTTCAGGTAGGCACAACTTTTATCTCATTTTTAAAACTAAGACGAGTACAGTATTCCCAATAATAATAATAATAATAATAATAATAATAATAATAATAATAATAATAATAATAATAATAATAATAATAATAATTTTATTTATATATTTTTATTAAAGAAGCCCACCCATATTTTTAATTTACTTAAATAGCTAATCATAATGCCGATCTGTAAATTAAAACGGCATTTAGAAATAGAATGGAATGAAATAGAAATAGAATTCTTTATTGGCCAAGTGTAATTGGACACACAAGGAATTTGTCTCCAGTGCATAAGCTCACAGTCTACATATAAACACCAAGTAATAGGTCATAGGTCATAATCATAGTTACAATCATTAATCAAATGATTTAGAAGGATCAGAGAATTGTCTAGCGTGTGTTTGCTGCTAAACACATTTCAAAGATCAATTAAACTGCAGAGATGACTCATACATTAAACCAGGGGTGTCCAACCTTGGCAACTTTAAGTCCTGTGGATTTCAACTCCCAGAATTCTGAATAAAGTCGGGGAATTCTGGGAGTTGAAATCCACAAGTCTTAAAGTTGCCAAATTGCCTGTAGTCCCAATCCAACCAAAACTGCAGAATGTTCTCCTTTATATCAAAAAAGATACAAATTTGCAGAATGAGAAGGGCTGCATCTCATGAATAGTTCTCTAGCTGCTTAAGTGTAGTTTCATATGCTAAAAATAAAAACTCAATTTTCTAAAGCTAGAAAAACAGAGAAATGTGTATTTTGTTATAATCAGAGGAGATTATAAAGGAGCTTTACCTTGGGGCGTAAAAATGAATCAGCTACATATGGATTAAGATAAATTACGAGCCAGCTTTTTTCCTTCTGCACAATGGAAAGGTAGCAAGGCTGTCAAATCCTAAATCATATCCAAGATGGAATACTTTTTCACAGGGGGCACTGCAATCAACAATGCTTTTTCGTTATTCTTTCATTTGCACTCATTCTTTCACATGTACATGCAAGTATATTGATATATGTGCAGGAATACGCATTCCATTTCCATTCCTCCTGATTTAAGTTCCCAACCTGTTCAGCCACTGTTTAAATCTGACTGAAGGCAACTTCATTTTTTCCTTCAAAAGCAACTCTTCCATTACACAGTCCAGCTTCCTGGATGTAAATTTTACTAGAAATTACTGGGCCGGACAAAAAGCAAATTGAATTTCAAATCAAATTTATTATCTCAGGGGAACAATGTGCTGATGGTATTGTTTGCCTTCCTATTTAATTCAGTATGTTTTACAATCTTCATGCATGTCAGCGAGATGTTCGTGATTTGATCTCTGGTTCACTGCTTTTTTGCAATGCACAAGGAGTCGGTGGGATTCTGCGGAAAGCTTCATTTTATCAGAATGCAAAATCATTTTAATGGTCCTGAGGGAATCCTGAAAGCAAAAAGTGGCGCTTAATAATATTAGAGGCAGGATGAGGCAGAAAATAGATGCTTCTAAATAGAATTAACCACTTAGATTATTCAGGGGAAGCAGGGAGTCAAGAACAATTACTTCCATCTTGTGGGATCCAAATATTAATTGATGTTCGATCTTGAGATTACCTCCTGTAATACAGGGAGTCCTCAACTTATGACCACAATGGAGCCCAAAAGTTTCATTGCTAAGCAAGAGAGTTGTTAAGTGAGTTTTGCCTCATTTTACAACCTTTGTTCCCACAGTTGTTAAGTGAATCACTTACTTGGGCTCCTATCCTCAAGTTGTCAGACTTTGGGAAGGTCTTGAGCTGTTCTCTGTTGCTGCCCTCCTCACCCTCCACTTCCAAGGCCCCCAAGGCCCATGGGCACAGAGTTTATGATGGTGGCGGCTCAGTCTGGGTGGAGAAGGGCCGTTGGGGGCACCCTTATCAGAGTCTGCAAGCAACCTCTTCCCTTGAGGTGCTCCGATCAGTTTCAGGGTGCATCAGTTCTGCTGCCTTGGACAGGATATGGGCAGGGACCTTGAAAAAGGCGGCTGCTGCTCTCTTTAATCAGAACAGAGCTGGAAGGCACCTTGGAGGTCTTCTAGTCCAGCCCCCTGATCAAGCAGGAGACATTATACCATTTCAGGCAAGGGGCTGTCCAGTCTCTTCTTAAAAGCCTCCAGTGATGGAGCGCCCACAACTTCTGGAGGCAACTTCTGTTCCACCAGTTAATTGTTCTCAGTGTTAGGAAGTTTCTCCTTAGTTTTAGGTTGCTTCTCTCCTTGATCAGTTTCCATTTGTTGCTTCTTGTCCTGCCTTCAGGTGGTTTGGAGAATAGGTGACCCCCTCTTCTCTCTGACAGCCCCTCAAATATGGAATATTGCTATCATGTCACTCCTAGTCCTTTTTTTCTCTAGATTTGTAGAGCCCTCTTTTTTTCATCGTAATCAGCCACCGCTCTTTTCGGAGCTTAGGCAGCTCGAATGCAGTCAAACAAATGAAGAAAAGAACTTTCAGGCCCCTTTTTCACGACACCCGGCTCAGGGCAGGCAAGACAGAAACTTTATGATTTGATTGAGGTCGAGTCTGCAGAGCGAGAAACAGCCTCACCGCTGCTGCTACTGCTGCTGCTTCTTCCTCCTGCGTCCCCCCTCCCCTCCGCTGTTCTCAAGAGCTGCAAGCAACCATCAACATTTTATGGCCCATTTTATTCCACTATCTGGAGTGTCAAGAGGCTCTGCTAAGCCTTTAAACAACGTTGGCATTTTGATGTGAGACTCAGACTGATAACTCTCACCTGCCGAGACTTTTTCACTGCTTTTAGCTTTTAGTCAGAGCAGCTCCCCTTGATGACTGGCTGAAAACCACTGTTTGGGTTGGAAGAACTAGACTCTACCTGCCATGAGGGTTTAGTGCAAGGAGGGGGGCCCATCTCTGAACTTTATGCATTCTGCTAGTGTATAATACCGTGTTTTTCTGAAAATACAACCTACCCCAAAAGTAAGCCCTAGCTTGATTCTTGCACATGCACCCAGTATAAGCCCTACCCCAAAATAAGCCCTAATTAAGAAAGATCCCGCCCACTCCAGGGTACACGGGTAAAAACTAAGCTAGGGTGGGATGGGAAGGGGGGAGCTGCCCTACTACTTACCTTCAGAGAGTTGCAGCCAGGCCTCGCACACCCTGACCTTGCTGGCCCATTTTGATCCAGAGCTCTCTTATTGGCTGCAGAGGCCTTCAGGAAAGCCTTGCTGGCCTTGCCGGCCACAGAAGAACTTCCTGAAAGGCCTCTGACAGTGAAAAGGAGGCTGGGGCCGATGTGCACAAGTGAGGTGAATCAGTGGATGACATCCCCCCCCCCCAGAATAAGACCTGGTGCCCTTTTTGGCAGCAAAAAAATAAAATAAAACAGGGTCTTATTTTCAGAGAAACACAGGTAGAAACACAGAATCACAAGGCTGGAAGGGAGCTTGGAGGTTTTCTAGTCCAACCCCTGCTCAAGCAGGAGACCTTATGCCAGGGGTTCCCAACCATTGGGAGAGCATTCCCAGAATGCTTCAGCCAGCACAACATTTGTCTGAAATGTCTAGGGTTTCCTGCCTGAGCAGGGGGTTGGACCAGAAGACCTCCAAGGTCCCTCCTATTATTCTGTTATATGAAAACATTGCATGGCTTACATTTTGGAAATGCTTTCCCTGCTTCTAACCCCACAAACCCCTCTCCTTCCCATGAGAAATCTGAGAAATCTCGCCCATAAATGTGCCATCCCCATTACTCTGAAGTCATGCCTCTTTTCTCCCCTCTTCTCATCCACAGGACATCTCCCCCGAGCAGCTGAGTAATGAGCTACCTGAGCGCCAGCCCCGATATCCTGAATCTAGTCTCTGTATTTCGGCCTCTGTCCGTACCTGGAAGTTGCTCTGTGTTATTCTCCAGGACAGACAAGGGGAAGTCCTCCCTCACCTAAGGTGTAATTAATTCATGGAATTTGCTCTCAGGAGGTGGCAGAATCTGCAGGTTAATTAGCAGACTCTCGTCCAAGGATAATCACTATCAGGTTTAAAGGGTAGTTGATGGGAAAGGCCATTTCAGCGGACAAATATTTCCATCCTTGGTTTCTCAAGAACATCTGGCTGACCACCCAGAAAACGGGGTATAACTCAATAGACCTTGGATCTGACCGACAGCCTTCTTACTTAGCCTTCTGTTCTTCTTCATCTTCAGCCAACAATTTGGGGCTGTATAAATCTGGATGACCACACGATGACAGCTTTACAGATAGTCGACTTACAGTAATTCATTTAGTGACTGTTCATTTAGTGACATTACTGAGAAAAGTGACTTATGACCGTTTTTTACGCTTATGACCCATTCCCTTGGTCATGAGATCAAAATTTGGACGCTTGGCAACGGGTTCATACTTATGACAGTCACAACATCCCGGGGGTCACGTTTTGCGACCTGAACGCAAAGTCAGTGGAGAAGCCAGATTCACTTAACAACCGTGTGATTAACTTAACAACTACAGGAATTCACTTAACAACTGGCAAGAAAGGTTGTAATATGGGGCAAAATTGACTTAGTAGCTGTCTGGCTTTGCAACAGAAATTTCGGGCTCAATTGGGGTCGTAAGTCGAGGACTACCTGTGTTGGAGTTTTCCCTATTTCTGTGCTGCTGTCTAGTGGTCACCCAGGAGCGTCCTGTCCAGATCTGTTTGACCTGTGTTACTCACTGCTGGACATGAGCGAACAGTGTCAGTTGTCCATCGTGTCACAAAACAAATTGCAACATAAACGGGCGAACTCCCTTCCGCTGGGCCTCAGCCATACATACATCCAAGCTGGCAGAAGACAGGAGTGGACAGCGTTGCCAAAGGCAGCGTTGCTGTCCGTGTAACAGGGAGAAAGTTAAAGCGGCCATAAAGAGGTGAATAGTTCAAAGGAGAAACGGATCCTTCCCTCCTGAAGCTTTTGAGCAACGGGAAGAGAGTGTAGGTTAGGCTGCAAGGGAACGAAATGCCTTTTCCACCAGGAAGCCAGGCTGGGTATCTCAGGATTATTTTGAAAAGGTGGTGCAGGCGAGGTCAGATTGGTAAAGAAAGGAAGCCCTCCCAAAAAGGACCCCCCAGAATGGAACCATGAAAATCCTGCAGCCACAGGATGCAGTGGATCTCGGTAGACTTTCCAGGGTCCCTGTCCTCCTGGCTTGCTGTGAAATTCCCTGTTGTTTCCTTGACTGTCCATGTGTGTCCACATTTGTTGTCTACAGCTACAGATACACACACGATGATGGGCGCATCTCTTACCCACTTTGCTTCATCTTCTCCAGTCCAGCTGGTAAGATCCAGTCACCGCCTCAAGCAGGGTTCTTAAGGGGGAGCCGATTTATTTATTTATTTTAGCAAATTTATATTGCCGTCTGCTCACACATGGCAACTCACATGGTTTTTACGAGGTGGGCTTGACCCCTTATAGCAGGGGTCTCCAAACCTGGGAACTTTTAAGACTTGTGGACTTCAACTCCCAGAATTCCCCAGCCAGCATGCGCTGGAGGCTTTTAAGAAGAGGCTGGACAGAGATGATGTAGGGTCTCCTGCTTGAGCAAGGGGTTGGACTAGTAGACCTCCAAGGTCCCTTCCAGCTCTGTTCTGATTGAGAGAATGCCATGGTCCAGCATCTGTGCGACTCAAGATTGTCCAGTCTGGGGGTGGGGAGATGCCTCTCTCTGGCTCAATCAATCCCATCTCCTTGAGTGCCCATGAATTATGCCACCCGTTGCAAGGCATTCTGACTCAGATAATGAATGCTAATTGCAAATAAACCGTGCTTCCCTCTTCCTTCCACCCAGGGTGCAAGCCGGAGCAGCAAATGATGTACGCTGGAAGCAAAAACAGGCTGGTACAGGCAGCTGAGCTCACAAAGGTATTTAATCCTGATTTTTTTTTTTTTTTTACTGTTTACCATTCTGCCAATCCTTTTGACTCTTCCGGCTTGGGGGAATCTTTTTTTTTACCATCTCCTTCCTACGGCTGCTGATCCATAGAATATAATTACCAAGCTTTCGTCTTGCTGTTTTTTTGTTGCCGATCGCTACGTGTTCTCGGTGAGTCTCGGTGTTGAATTTATTTTCTCCTGCCTTGGATTTCAGTTTTGTAAAATGACCCATTTATATGTAGCGTGCAGCAGAGTCACATATCCCATGTTGAATTATTAACGTCGGCGGCAATTCTCTTTCTGTCAGGTCTTTGAGATCCGGTCCACAGAAGAGCTGACGGAGCAGTGGCTCAAAGAGCGGCTGGCTTTTTTCCGTTAACCTGGGGTCACTCAGAGAAGACCAAGTTCTCACGTAACCCCCGGCCTCCACCAGAGCCTGCCCCTCCCCTCTCTCTAGAGACAGCAACACAGGATGTGCATAGCAGAAGCTGCCTCTTCATCACCATCTTTGCCCCATCAGCTTTTTGCTGGTAGCTGAAATGTCTGAGAATAAAACTGGCTGATTCTACTTCTTCTTCTTCTTCTTCTCTGAACTTGTTGCCTTCGGGCCTCCCTGAAGTTTCCAGGACGTGCCCTTTGGCTTGGCACTCTGGCAGAGGAAGGGTCTCTCTCTCTCTGACCCGGGAAGACCATGCCGGTGGTTCTCCCTTGCAGTGCAGCCGTTCACCACCCGGGGGCGCCTTCTGCCCACTGGAAAGGTCCTCCTGGCAAGGTAGAGTGGCCGCCCAGTCCTGCACTGGAGTTTCAAAGCCCTTTAACGGTGGGAGGGAGAAGAGTGCAGTGTTTCAGAGCCTCTCAGGGTTGTGACACACTTGCTCAATTCTCTCAGCAGGCTGGTCAGATAGTCATAGGAATGTGCGGAAGAGCTACTCTGGCAGGGCTTCCTGTGGCTGTGCTGCACTTAAGCAGAGGAGATTGTGGCAGCTCAGGTGTGAACTGTAGGGACCTGGGTGCTCCCTGAGCTTGGTGGTTTCCTTGCAGACGCTTCGTGACCCAACTAGGTAACATCGTCAGTGCTAGAAGGAAGGGGGGTTAGTGGGGGAGAGGAGAAAGGAGGAGGAGGAGGAGGGAGGACTGTGGGGTCCTGGGTGCTCTCTGAGCTTGGTGGTTCCTTGCAGATGTTAAAGCCTCCAAGCTTGGCTAACACTGGTTTGTAGAAATTAACCTTGATGGGTGAACTTAAACATGCATTTGTTCTGACGGAAAATCTATATGTTTCTTGCAAGTTTTTGCAGACCTTCTTGTCCTGTAGAGGGAAGTTGGGAAAAATTAGAAAGTGAAAGAAAGTTTGAGAAGGAAGATTTTAGGCAGCATCCTTGGCTGGCGAAGGTTATTAAAGCCTTGTGGTTTGATTACTTCCCCCAACGGCTGGAGATAGATTGTCGCTGGCAGGAAAATGCTGCATTTGTCAGATCTATCATCCTTTTGGCCTCTTCGGTGAGGGAGGGCGAGATCTTCGGGGGGGGGGGGGCTCATCATTGCTTCATTTATAGAGACGGAGTGGCTCGCTTTCAATCTCCCTGCCAGTTTAATCGGAGGAGTGATTATTACAACGGCCTGGCCTGGAAATTGGTTTGGCTGATTGGAAGGACTAAGAGGGCCTGCCCTGGAAAAAGAGGTGCCCCCTCCCTCCCTGAAGGGCAGGGTCTCAGACGAGGGATGTGGGGGGGCCCTTCCTCTTGATTTTTTTCCCCTCTGCCCAGCTGAGAAACTCTTGTGCCAAAGGGGTCTGGGACTCTGCAATGCCGGTGCCGGGCAGCAGGGGGCGCAGAGCAGTTGTCCTTGGATTTCAGGGAGGAAGGGGCTGAGTACAGGCACTCCTTGAGTTACGACCGCAGTTGAGCCCAAAATTTCTGTGGCTAAGCGAGATATTTCTTACGTGAGTTTTAACCCATTTTACGAACTTTCATGGCCACAATGGTGGAGTTGTTAAGTTAGCGCCGCAGCTGTTCAGGGAATCTGGCTTCCCCCTTGACTTTGCTTGTCAGAAAGTCGCAAAAGGGGATCACATGACCCCGTCATAAACTGCAACCGTCATAAACGAGAGTCAGTTGCCGAGCATCTGAATTTTGATCACCTGACCCTGGGGATGGTGCAACGGATGTAAGTACGAAAAATGGTCATAAGTCCCTATTTTCAGTGCTGTTGTAAATTTTAATGGTCACTAAATGAATGGTTGTAAGTCGAGGATTGCCTGTACAGTATTTTGGTGGTGGCGGCAGCCATGATGATGGTTTTTTAACATAGAGGGAGAAGGAAGAGATGATCTACTTGCAACTTCAGGAGAACAGGGCGCAGCAGTTTCTGCCGAGAAGAGCCCGGCAGTCCCCCCATGTGCCCCTCCGCCACAGGGCAGGCTGAGCGACCCGGGGTCTTCGGCTTGGGGCCAGAGGGCACCCCAGGGACCCCACACCCTTGCATGGAGGCCCAAAACATTCTTCACCCCAGCTGATTCTGGGCCCTCCTGAAAAGGGGGTGTCTGCCAAAGGAGAAATCCAGAGTCAGATGAGGAATTGGTTCCATGCTGCACATCTGCAAGTGCCTTTTGGGCAACCTGGCAAGGAAGCAAGAGGGATGCCCAGGCCGGGAGGGACATGCCAACTGCCCGCCCTGATTCAAATCCACCCCTTTGGGACACATTTCGGCTTAACTCCTCCCGTCTCCAACACCAGCTAAAAAAAAAGCCCTGGCCAATTAATTCATCCAATTGGAGGTAGTCCTTGACTTACAACCCTCCCCCTCCCTTCCTCCCTCCCTCCTTCCTTCCTTTTTCTCTCCCTCCCCTTCCCTTCCCTCCCTCTATCCCTGTCTCCTTCCTTCCTTTCCTTCCCCCCTCCCTCCCTCTTTCCAGACAAGGGCCAAGAGAGGCCATTCCTGGGATGCCGGTGGCCGGAGGAGAGCCTGGACATTGGCTGTCCTCATCAGGCTTCATGGGTGAAATCTGCTTCCCTCCCTCAACCCCCCCTTTTTCGCTTTCCTGTTTCAAAGCCCTGGATGCCACATCTCCATGGAAACCGGCCGGTTTTTGAGGATGGCCAAAGCCACAGCACATGGCGCTCATCCTTCCCAATCGCCAGCCCTTCCTCAGAGGGGCTGAGGGGGCCCTTCCTTCACGGGGGGAGGGGGGCTCACACACAAACCCAGGCTAGGGATGCAAACAGGAGTGGGCGCAGGGCAACTCCTCCAGGCAAACCCAGCCCTGCATGCTCCCTTCCTCAATTGCCCATCTTCCTAAATCCCCCTCGCCATCTTACTGTCCCTCAAATTTGGCCTTCTCTCCTGTCAAGTCCCACAATGGGGCTCCCCTTCCCCTGGGCGCTGCCCCACCAGCCTTGAGAGTCACAGCCCCACCCCCATCCAGAGCCTTGTCCAAAGGGACTGAGTTTAGAGTGGAGAACTCTGCACGTGCTCTCCTGTCCTCACCTTCCCCGCTTTGCAAGCTGTCCTCGAGGGCCAGGGTGGACAGTGGAGAGCTGCAGCCTCTGTTCAGAGCTGGCTGTGCCCTGAGGCTGCTACTCTTTGGAGGTGTCCGGTGGGGATGCTCCAAGGGCAAGACGGTGGCTACAAGGGGGGGTGTTGTAAGGGCCCATCTGGCCTTTTTGGAGTCCCCCCCATGGACACCGACTGAGCATCTTGCAAAGGTTTCAGCCTCAAGATGCTCATCCTGCAGAGTTCAAGTCGCCAAGGCTGGACATCCCTGATCTAGAAGATTTATGCACAATCTGTGTGTTTATAATTGGTTTAAACCCTTTTGCATCCTCCCCAAAAGATGCTGTTGTGCAGCAGGATGCGAAGACATGGAATTCCCCTCATCGTTGCCTCCTTTGGGGCTGCCAGGGGTCCAAAGAGCCACCACAAGCAAAGCCACCCCTTCATTTTAAGGGCTTTCAACCCCGCTCACGGCCCCTCTCCTCTCTCTCTCTCTCTGCAAATGCAGCGATGATGACCTTGCAAAGGAGAGGTGCAAAATCCAGGGGTGTTTTGCTCCCCTTTCCTCAGGGTTTGCCACGAGAGGGAGAGGGAGGGAGGGAGGCGGTGCAGAGCAGATCCAGAGGCACAGCGTCCGTGACAGCACAACCGATTCGGTTTTCTGGTGCTAGGGGGAAAAAGAAACACCAACGCCTGTGGGGCTTTCATTGCCAACCCCACACACTTAAAACTGAGGGTGCTTCTTCCTCCAAAGGAATTGTGCATTTCAGGATCACGACTATCCTGTCATCTCGCCCAATGCAGACACAAGGCACCATTTGTTTATGTGGTTGTTGGATTGATCGATCGATTGATTTCTATAACCGCCCATCTCAGTCAGTGACTCTGGGCGGCTCACAATTCAAAACATATTATTACCATGGATGGTCCTTGACTTACAACGGTTCATTTAATGACCTAAGTTACAATGTCAATCAAAAAAGTGACTTACGGCTGTTTTTCACACCTACAACCGATGCACGGTCCCCGTGACTACCTGATCAAAATTCCGAAGCTTGGCAACGGGTTCACATTTATGACGGCTGCAGTGTCCTGGGGTCTCGTGATCCCCTTTTGCGACCTTCTGATGAGCAAAGTCAATGGGGAAGCCAGATTCACTTAGCAACTGTAACATGAACAGTCTTAAAATGGGGCAAAATTTGCTTAACAACTGTCTCATTTAGCAACTTCCAGTAAAATTTGGAGATCAGTTGTGGTCATAAGCCAAGGACCACTTGTATTTTTTAAAAAATGTTAAAAATAAAACAATAAAAACAGTAAAAAAACCCCAACAAATTGAAAACAGTGAAGCTCATTAGAAGAGTAGCCACTTTGCTGAACCTGTTTTCCAAATTCTAGTTGGTTGGTTGGGAAAATATGACCAGAACATGGAGAAACGGGGGGGGGGGGAGGCAGGGTGGAAACAAACAGTGTGGGATGCCCAAAAAGCTATAAAAATGGAACAAAGAAATACAGAAAAGGGTTTGGGTTCGATTCTCTCCTGCCCAATCTGCCAGAAGCTTGGAGCAAAGGAAGAGCATGTGCTGGGCCCTCCTGAATTAAAAATGCTTTCCCCAGAAAGTCTCTGTCCTTCTCTTGGGCTCCAGAATAACAGAGTTGGAAGGGACCTTGGAGGTCTTCTAGTCCAACCCCTTGCTTTGGTGGGAGACCCCATGCCAAGGGTCCCCAACCCCGGATCGCAGCCCACTCCTGAGCTAGAGCCTGTTTGGAGCCAAGCCACAGAAGTGGCGGATGAGTGCGTGTGCCCAGGCAGCTTCACTTGCGCGAAGGATGAGTGAGCACCCCTGCTGCTGGTTCAAATGGAGCTGCCCACATGAGCACCCTTGCCTGCCACTGATGGGGAACTGTCCCCTCTCCCCCTCCCAACCAGTCCGCCACAACCTCTGGAGCAAAGCCAGCTGAGGAACTCTGGGAGTTGAAGTCCACAAGTCTTAACGTTGCCAAGGTTGGAGAGCCCTGCTCTGGAGGGAAGTCGTCTGACGACCACCTTCGGAACTGGATCAGAGCGGATAGAAATCG